CAGCTGCAAGGAGAGCGGCACTGGGAGATGCGGCGAGGAGAGAGGCAGAGGGCGCGGGCGGAGCGCGGAGCCCCGAGCGCGGCCGGCAGCGGGCCCGGCCCGGCCCGGGGACCCCTCCTCACCTTGAACATGGCGGCGCCGGGCGCGCGGCGACGGGGCGATGGCGTCACCGCGGCGTGGCGTCACGGGGCGGGGCCGCCGGCGCCGCCCGGGCAGCGGGGAGGCTGCGGCTTTGGTGGGGCTCCTGTGGGGGCAAAGCGCTTACACACTAACCCTCAGCCCCGCGGCACGGCTCCTGTGGGGGCAAAGCGCTTACACACTAACCCTCAGCTCCGCGGCACGGCTCCTGTAGGGGCAAAGCGCTTACACACTAACCCTCAGCCCCGCGGCACGGCTCCTGTGGGAGCAAAGCGCTTACACACTAACCCTCAGCCCCGCGGCACGGCTCCTGTGGGGCAAAGCGCTTACACACTAACCCTCAGCCCCGCGGCACGGCTCCTGGGGGGCAAAGCGCTTACACACTAACCCTCAGCCCCGCGGCACGGCTCCTGTGGGAGCAAAGCGCTTACACACTAACCCTCAGCCCCGCGGCACGGCTCCTGGGGGGGCAAAGCGCTTACACACTAGCCCCCAGCCCCGCAGCACGGCTCCTGCGGGAGCAAAGCGCTTACACACTAACCCTCAGCCCCGCAGCACGGCTCCTGTGGGTACAAAGCGCTTACACACTAACCCTCAGCCCCGCGGCACGGCTCCTGTGGGGGCAAAGCGCTTACACACTAACCCTCAGCCGTCCTGTGGGAGCAAAGCGCTTACACACTAACCCTCAACCCCGCAGCACGGTTCCCTGTGCTGCCCTGCAGCCTTTGTGAGAAAGGCTCGGCCGTTCACAGTTCACAGAATCAGTCACAGGAATCTATGAGGTTGGAAAACACCTCTGAGAGCGTCGAATCCATCCTGTTACCAAACCCACGTCAGGTACACCATGGCACCACCAGGCTGGTGGAGTCACCATCCCCGACGTGTTCAAGAAACACAGTCTCTTGAGAAAAGCTAATGGCACTGAGTGCCACGTCCAGCCTTTCCTTGAACCTCTCCAGGGACGGTGACTCCACCAGCAGTCCATTCCAATGTCTGCTCACCCTTTCTGTGAAGAAATTCTTCCTAAAGTCCCACTAAACGTTCCCCGACACGGCTTTACACTGTGCCTGTCGCCGGCTGCCTGGCAGGAGAGAGCGAGCCCCGGCTGGCGGCAGCCTCCTGCCGGGCAGCGGCAGAGAGCGGGGAAGGTCCGTCCCCGAGCCCCCTTCAGCCGGCTGGACACCCTGAGCTCCCTCACCGCTCCTCACAGGACTCGTGCCCCAGACCCTTCACCAGCTCCGGTGCACCGTAATTGCAGCCGAACCCAATGGGAAGAAATGACGATGTCTGACTCAATTCAGAAGGCTGAACGATTTCTTTATTATAACTATGGCTAAAATACATTAATATACTATATAAAAAGGAAGATACTAAAACTACATACCACTTTCTCTAACTCTCACAACTCATGACCCTCTATCGAGAGTTTAGACACAGGCAGATTGGATTGGCCATCAGGCTCAAACAATCCTCACCGGAATCCAATCAAGCACTCACTCCAGGTAAACAATTCTCCAAACACATTCCACATAGGAAAACAAGGAACAGAAAATGTTTTCTCTTTCATTTCTCTCTGTGCACCTCTATGAAAAATCCTGAGAGGGAGAGAAATGTACTTGCCACATCAGCGCCCTTCTGTCTCACTGCCAGAATAAATAACTCACATCGCTGGGTTTTTTTTTTTGTGTTTTTTTTTTTTTTTTTTTTTTTTTTTTTTTTTTTTTGTTTTTTGTTTTGTTTTGTTTGGGTAGAGCTCGTTCTCTTCACAGTGGCTGGTAAGGGGCTGCGTAATGGATGAGTGCTGAACATAGGGTTGATAATACAGAGATGTTTTTGTTACTCATGTGTTGGAGATAGAATATCCCTTTCATCAGCTGGGATCACCTGTCCCAGCTGTGTCTCCTCCCATGCACTCCCAGCCCCTTACCAGCATGGCTGTACAAAAAGCAGAAAAGGCCTTGGCTCTGTGTAAGCCCTGCTCAGCAATAACAAAAACATCTCTGTATGATCAGCCCTGGGTTCAGCACTAATCCAATACACAGCCCCATAACCTCCACTGTAAAGAGAATTAACGCTACCCCAGCCAAAACCAGCACAATGGGGCTAGTGCATGGATAGGGTTCTGTGCCTTTCTATCTCACGATACTAAAAAAAAAAAAAAAAAAAAAAAAAAAAAAAATCAAGCACCCTTTTCCCAGTATTTCTACACTTCTGGTCTCTGCATCTCCTGTGGCATCTCCCAGCTCACTTGGGTGAGCTGGACAGGTGCAAGTTTTTTCTGCTCACATCTGCAGCAAGGGAGGCTCTTGTGTACAACCCACAGTGACTGACTTATAACTCAGTGGGAGATGAATATCAGAAAATGGACTTGGAACAGGCTGCCCAGAGAGGTGGTGGAGTCACCATCCCTGGAGATGTTCAAGAAACACAGTTTCTTGAAAAAAGCTAATACTGATTTTAGACTATGAATAGCACCATGTTAGTCTTAGAAAACATTGTTAGAATTTTAATGCAAAAGGTGAATCACCTGAAGAATACAGTAGCAAACACTTCATCAGGAATAGTACTGTGGAAAGACAAACAAGGTATACACTCTTGCACGATCTTCTTTGTGATGATAATTGTTGTTGTTCCCTCTTAAAATGCCTACATTTCTTTACTGCAGATTCTTTATAGACCTAACAGAAGCAGCTATAGCAGGAAGAAGTTTAACCACTGCATTGCAGAACTCAGCAATGCTCCTTAACAGCAAATTAACAGGACAGCAGAAATACCATGAACAAATGGTACAAGATGAGCTCCAGTACCCACAGACAATACTGGTATTTTATTTGATTTCATTATAAAGATTTTAGCACAGAAAAGTTAAACCTAAAATGCACCCAAGTGACCAATGAGTGAGGAACACAAATTGTCCTTTTTCTCCATTGCATCGTGCTTTGCACAATCAGTTTTGTTTACAGAATATAAGCAGCCAGAGTGAGGCAAATGTTTATAGAAGACTGATTTGGCAGCATTTTGTGGAGGTTTTGTCAGGATGTGGAGTGACGGTGTAGTTTGCAAAGCAGTTGCATTTTTTGATGCATTTTAATAGTAATTCTCAAAGAGTTTGAGAAAGAAAATGTTCAAAGCTCAAAATTACAAGTGAGGCCACAAGAGGAGTGATGACATCAAGGTGAATAGTGGCACCTGCTCTAGTTAGTTCTCAGCCAAAGCTAACTCCCATGCCAGGGGTAAGATCAACTGTTCCTCAATTTTTCTCAATTTTTGCAGGAGGCAGACATAAGAATATTTTTTAAGTTTGGTACATGAACAGTAAAGAACATTCCAATTCTTTCGGGACATAAAATGTGTAAATGTTACAAATACGTATTTTTGTCGTCAATTTATATGCAGTGGCTGTATAGCAATTATTAATACAATTATGTAAAACAGATATAAATATCTGAAGAACAGATGGTTGTTTAAAAAAAAATTAATCCAAATAATTTTATTAGCTCAGGAATCTTCAGTGCACTTTTTTCGTTAATGTGGATATTAATCTTTAAAACTACTGCTAGACAGATTAAAATAAATGGGAAAACCTTTGTAGAGAACAATACAAATATATTTGCTTTCATGTAGGTGTAGTCCTCTCTTATACTGGAGAAGTTGTCCCTGCCAAATTTCCCTGGGACAAGGATAATATATGGCATAATGGATTATGCACGGTCCAAAACACTGTCAGACAGGCTTAAAAAGGAATGGAAGTTTCTGCTGCTGAGGCCACAGAATAAAGAGGTTTGGCATGATTGACTCCTGGCTGTTTCTAATGTAAGGACCTCTAGCAAATTTCAGTTTGATTTTGCATGCCAGCATTTTTAGAAAATTGGCTTTTGTAAACACTTGTGAAAGACACATTTCCTTCAGAAAACTGCAGCTCAGAGAAGCTTGAAAATGTTGCCACACTTCATAAACTATGTCATCACAGGCAGAAATACAATTTAAGAAATTAGATCTCTAATCCAATGCCTTAGCTATTATAGTCTGAACTTTCATAATGTTGTATTAGATTGCTTGTTTACAGTTTATTTTTTTGGTCAGAAAAATAAAATAATTCCTTTCCTACTAATATAATTTCAGTTCTTTACCATAGATGTATAATTGTAAGGGAAAATTGATTTGTTGCTTTTCAATGTTTAAAATATGAATGTATAACATCTGTCCATCAAATACCTAGTCACACTGATTACTAGAAAACATTAGAATTCTGGAAGGCTGGTTTGATGTTCTCCATAAATCTTATTGTGTATTAAAACAAACAAACAAACAAACAACCCCAGCACCCCCCCCCCATGTTCTTCCATGCACCTTTTCTCATTAAAACAAGTGATTTTTAAAAATACCATGACTTGTCACTACAGTTTTGCCAGCCTGTTCAGAATTGGGTTTTAATGTTCTTATAAGATAAACCCCTCTTCTGCCTCTTAGAGCTTTTTGTTTGTGTTGTGTTTTAAGCGGAAATAATGCTGTTTGGCAGATCTCTCTTCAAGTTCTTTGAAAACATGTAGTTAATTGGGAATACACAAAAACAAGGGCTCCAGTAAATTCAACCTTCAGTTGTGAACAGCTTCACCAGTGCTGGGAGGGGGCACGTCAGGCACACAGCTTTGCTGGCCGGGTCTGCAAAGCACTGATCAGTTTCTCATGTTCCTGTCACTTTTAGCACATATTTGTTAGGCAGCTAATTGAACTGCCTTTTATTGTGTGCATGATGACACTTTGCACAAAGCCTTTGCGAAGGGGAGTAGTTTGCATGTCCATAAGAATACCCCTTCATCCTTTCTACTTTATTTACTTCCTAAATAAAAACAAAAACAAACTGAAATTGAACAGGTTTTTTATTTAATACCATCTTATTTAGAGTGAAACTTACCCTGTGCTTTTTCTTTTAATAGCTAAGGTTGGTCGTTTTTCGACCTTTGTCAAAGGCCCTTTATTGGAAGCAAAGTCACACATTCAGAAAGTAAATTGGGTGTTGAGAACAGATGCCATTGCAGAGCTATTTGTGCGTTCTCACTGACCTACCTTTAATTGCAGCAAAGTCTTTACTGCATTCACATCTGAGGTAAACCAGGACGAACTTCAGCACCTGTTGTCTCACCAGCTTTCTCACATTTTGACAGCACTCAGAATAAACTTTGTGCTTTCCAAATAAAGATTCTATAAAATAAGACAAGGGGCAGGTAGAAGAGAGACGTACATAATGCAAAAACCTCAGTATAATTCAACTACATCTATCTCACTTTTGACATACCATGGTTAAAAACCCAAATGTTCCTTACCTATTCAAATCCTTGGCTTCTTGCTGCAGCCAGCAGTAGCTCTGGTTCCACATTTTTCAGCTACTCCTTCCAGCCACAATGAGTAATTGTCATTCTATCAACAGGTTGTTGATACCACCACCAGAAATGTGTGGATTGTCTAGTGAAGCCCAGGTAACAGGCTACCAGTAGCACTAGCAACACAAACAGCTTTTTGATGCCCGTAAATACTCATCAGAACAAAACCCAACTCCTTTCAAAATTAAAATACACCTCAGATTTCAGTTGAACAGGATACATCTGGAAACCAGCTCAAGCCAGATGATGAAAGGTCCTGCATCTATTGCCAGTCTGTATATAGTATGTGCATGAATTTTTTTTACCTTAAAAAAATATTTTCACAGGAATCCCAAATTTCTTAGTAAGGTGATGTGAATAGCTTTACCTCATTTGCCTGTAAATGTATTGATTTACACATCTTCATAAATATGCATGCATATTAAATGTAGTACATTATTAACCTAAACTAATTTCTAGGTCTACCAAATAATTTTCAGTTAAAGGTACACATTCCTTCTGGAAGCAAAATACCCTTTTTGGAACATAATCTCATTTCTGTGCAGAAATCATTAGTCAGGAAGTCCTTCTGCCAGTCCTTGCTCTGTGGTACCATGGCATTTGTTCAGGCTGGGTTTGCACCTTTGCATTCCTTTGCCTCATATTAATTAAACCCCATCATAATCTGGTACCTCCCACTATTGCTTCTTTCTAGGAGCATGTGCCAAGAGGAGCAACAGCAACCTTACACAAGCTTAGTCCTGAAGTGCATTTGGGAAACTCTAGGACAGGTCTCACAATCACTGATGAAAGCGGTCATTTAGAGGTGTCCCCTAAGGATCCCTGATCTGTTTAACACACGTCATCCCCCACTGCTTCTCATGTGACACCACTGATGCCTACCCCCCACTCCCTCTGGAGAAGGGCCATGGCTGGCATGATTGCAGCTCATGGTGCAGGAACCAAGGGGGCACAGGGCAGTGGGGCACAGCCTGACAGCCAAATTTTAACTGCTTCTATCGAATATAGCATTTGAAACTATCTCCTCAGACTTGTGAGTTAGTACAATATGGTGCTGGCACACCAAAAAACAACACCTTAGCTTGCTTTGGCTCTTGTATAGATGAGAAAAATGTCACATTTCTCAAGTGTGATCAAACAGGTTCTTGCTCTTCTCTGCATGTAACAATGCAGAGTATTACACAGGCCCAGAAACTGGGTGTTACAAATAGGAGCAACTTCACTGAACATTAAGAGTGGCAATTTCATGAACTGAAAAGCCTGAGGGATCAATCCATTTTTACAGAAAATGGGAATATGAAACAGGTAAATTGTATGTCTGGTTCCAGGCACTATCTCTGGAGGATATTGGATTATTTCCATCCACAGCAGATGCATAAATCATCAAGAGTTAAATTACTGGAAAATTGCTAACCCATCCAGTCACATTAATGTGTTCTGCACTGCTTTGAACAAGGCTGCAGATCTGAGGGCAGATCTCTCTGTGGCTTTCTACTCCAGTTTAACAAGTTTAGCAAAAAATACATTCTTGTAATTAATTTTTGCCATGGGAAAAATAAAAATCCATGCACAGCAAAGCTAGGACAAAATTAAAATTGAGAATCTCTGATCACTTTTTAAGAAGCAGAAGTTCTGCAGAGTACAATTCGTTATTATTTGGGTGTTAACAATTTTGTACTGAGATTTCCTTGGCTAAGGTATTTAGTTTATTTAACTTACACAGAGATCAATCTCACTCCCCTTGTTTTCAGAGAACAGCACTAAGCGAAAATCCACCTTTTTTAGAAAACAGCTAAAACACTTCAAAGAAGGTTGGCAATTGGATCAATTCCCAACTTTAGTACCATGAAAAGTCATTCAACTAAAAGCTACAGTTCAGTTAATTATCACCACTTTTTTTTTTTTTTTTTCCTTCTGACTGCACAATGCTTTTCAGTGCTTTGGATAATCTGTCAGGAGAAAGGTTAGGAAAAGTTATTACTTCACAGTAACTTCCTGATTGCAATTAAATGAACTCCAAATCAGGAGAAGCAATATATAGATTAAAAAAAAAAAAAAGCTTTTGCCCTCTGAAACATCTTCTGAAACTTTGGTATTTTTTATTTCATTATAGTAAGTTAAAGTTCAGTTCTTGGTATCAAGTTGCCACCTGTTAGATGAAAAAATCCTTGCAGAACTACCTGTAAGAGTAAGAGAAAGAAGTGAGAGCATGTGTGCCACCAGGCAAATCCTATGGAACATTTTCAGCCAAGGATACCTAAGTAACTTGGACTCTTTCCTGGGCATATATTTGCCAGGAGGGCTTTCCGAGAGGTGGAGAATGATAGCAGAGCAACTCTTTGCTTTCCAGGAGTGAAAATAAAGCTCATCTCTATACCAACATAGGGGAAACACTTAAACCATGCCTTCCATTGGCACCAGAAGCACAATCCCATGCATTCTGTATGACTTTGGCAATCTGGGAAGGTAACCACAAGAGGAACCCACTGACCACATTAGAATTTTTACCCTGAAATGACAGAACTTGAACACAGAGGAAATACTTGGGTTTCTGTTGGCATTATGTAATTCCTTTGACAAAGAAAAGATGGTAAAGTCAGAAAGTCTCATCAATAGCACTCAAGTACATATATACAGACCCATACCACACACAATTCACCACAGGAAAGAAAAGATTCTCACACAGAAAAAAATAATTACATGGTGTTAACTCAAATTTGTGAGATGAAACACATGACAAAGTCCAAACAAACCAACGTTTAGAACATGCCTGGACATATGGAAAAGGCTGTGGGAAAGGAGGCTGCCAGTTTAAGCCAAAGACAGACATAGCTGTCTGCTAAAATTAAATAGTGCAATGAAAGGGTTAACCATTAGTCTTCTACCTCATTAGAAAACCAGTATTTTATTCAGCACCACTTATTGAACAACATTTATTTGCAATATAGGAGAAATTCTACCAAGGGTGACACCACCAGGAGACATTTGATGACATCAGATTCACAGCCAAGAGGTTTTTTTTAAATTCCTTTACATACCACATATCATCAATCTAGAATGTTTGGTGCTCAGCACATGATGCTTAATGTTGGCATTCATTCCAATGGACAGATGACTGACCAGTCACTGCAGGCTTAAAACAGACATCATAATGAGGTTTGTTTTTACCTGTAAATATTGCCCACAGCACCTGTCAGCACAAGTATAGAATTGAACACAGAAGTGGAAAGTGTTAAGAGAACAAGAAATTGAAGCGGCCTTTACACATATTCCCTACCCTCTTCTTTGAATGAAGGTTTTGCACATGCCAAGAAAGTTGCCTTGGACAAGGTGGTACTTCAGTTAAAGGATGACACTGAACCATCAGCAAGCTTTGACAGGCTAGGGGCTGGATAAGGGATCACATATCCATCAGAGTATCGTGAATTCAAAAGGTACAGAACTGATACAGAATTTAACACCCAGAGCAACACTCTGCCTTCTCATATTATGAAGCTAATGGATTCAGGAAGGAAACAAATAAACAAACAAAAAAGCAGAACCCCAAAACCCCAACCTATAACAAAGGGGGAACAGCTGTTGAAATTAGAATTTCATGTCAACAAGAATAATTTATAGCAAAGAATATAGAAAGCATTCACCAAATAAGCCCTTTGCCAAAATAACATTAATTTCATACCATACAAAACAAGTGAACACAGATTACTAACTACTGCCAAAAAATAAGACCATGTATTAATAAAAAAGTGAAGAGTTTAGTATGAACCAGTCAAAATGTGAGAGCTGTTAGTGAAATAATGGAAACTTTGTTGGAGATGCCTGATGAGCTACAGAGGTGCTAACAAGTCAGGCATTGTGATATATTGGAAAAAAGGTATTGCCAAAAATTCAACCCAGTTCACTGAGAAGGGAAATTAAAAAGGCAAATAAAAAGAAATGTAAGTAATATGTACAGTGTGAAAAGATTGTCAACTTCTACTGTATCAATCTAATGCGTTTGGTCTCCTTTTGAAGTCAAAATGGGGACATATCAAAATTAAAAGTGGCCCTACCTCCCTTTAATTCCTCCACAGCATTCTCCTATTAAACAGTGCACTATGTAGGATGAAGAAAAGTTACTAAACAAGGAGAGGAAGGAGGGGGGAATGTGGAAAGTTACTTTATGCAAATGAAGTTTAAAGTAATTTGAATTATTAAAATAAAGTTAAAATGCTATTTTAGAACTCAATATTGAAAAAAAAAATAAAGACACTGCAGTTATTTTCAAATATTCTTGACAGCAGACTTTTAAACCAGGGGCTTTGATCTGAGAGAGACTTGACAAAATAGTGACAGACAAAGTAAAAGTGTGGCAATGGACTGACAAGGAAGGCTTTCATTGGACTGCTTGAGAAAATAGGATTATAACCTGTTTTACCTGCCCTCCCACCCTGCTCCTCCTCCCTGGTGCTGAATGCTGATCTGACACCTTAATCCTGAAATGAAGTTTCCCCTTCCTGTTACAGGAAAGATTAAGAAGTACAAGCCGGCCCTGTGGCACTGTGAGTCCAGGTGTGCGAGGAACACGCCTTGTCTGGGGCCCGGAGCGGGGAACGCTCTCTCCTGGCTGCTGACAGCACCCAACGCTGCCCTGGCTGCTCAGCCTTGGCAGTCTGAATTCACAACTTCACACCAGGGGACAAATGTACCAACCAAGTCAACTCCAAACAGTTGTTCAAGCCTGAAATGCAGACTAAACAGATAAACACACTCCAGCAATTAAGACAGGGAAGACAGCTGTGAAACAAAGCTAAAGAGAAGCCTGAAGTTGTTTTATATAAGCACATCCAACTTGATGGGACAATTTTAATAAAATCTTACATAAATATTGTATCAAGACAGTTTTGAAGAGCTGTTTAACTGAGTTACCTCTGAAGTCCTGGAGAAGATAATCCAGGTCCACTACATTTTTGAGTACTACAAAGTTTACACAAGAGTGTTTAAAGATTAAAAATATTTTATTTACACTTTTCTTTATACATATTTTATACATTTTTTTTCAGCTTGAAACCCAAACAGAGCACATATGCAAGTCTGAGCATACTGTATCCATAGCAAGGGAAAATTACTTTCTGCCAAAAAAAAAAAAAAAAAAAAAAAGAAGAAAAAAAAAGACAAGAAAAATGCTTTAAAACATTTATAAAGAGGCAATTCTTAAATTATTCAGATAAGCTTATAGCAGTCCCAGGCTAATCATTAGACAGTTAATCTGAATGTATATATGAGGACATATACATATAATTTTGATTTTCTATAGGAAAAGTATTTCCAATAGCTAGACACAAACACAGTACAGTTTGAAAATAACTTTTCCTGTTAACTTATCAAATACATTCTTTTCAATACAAACAATCTGATATTGTACACTGGAATTGTGGGAATTATAGTGGAATTGCAATCTCCAGCATATAATAATTTATTTTAGAAAGATCTACAAAAATAATATATAGGGAAAAATATTTAACATTAACACAAAATTCACTCTTCCCTTCACCTGCTCCAACACTGACATAAAAGTTAGGTGGGTCCCACTGAGGTAATAAAAGCCCCTCTAAATATAGCTGACTTTACAGTCCTACAGAGCACTTCATTTCCTAGACTTACAGTAAGATTTTTCTACCAGAGCCATAAATAAAAACTATCTGCAAATTGAAATTATTTTCCCCAGCTACCAACTTAATATTAATCCAAAGGTATTTGAAATTGATTTTTGAAAGCTATTTTTAAAAGATTACACAAATTGAACTTAGAGAAGTGTAAAAATATTAGTAGAGGGAGACACAGGAAAGCTGTGCTCAAAACAAATTAGTTTTTCTGTCACCTGCCACATACAATTATGTTTTATGAAGTTTACCCACACAAAATGGAAATTTTCAAGTTACCATCTTTCAAAAATAGAATACAGATGCAAAAGTAGTCATTAGTATTTATTTTAAGCAGCTTTAAGTTGTTTAACATACATGAAAATCTCAGAATGTTAGCTACAGGACACCAGCAAGATGATGATGTTTTCAACTAGATGATGTGTTCTCCAGTTATGTTCTTTCCCACTCTCATTTAGTAAACCCCACCACATGTGACAGACAACTTCACCACCTATATGTATTCAAGTAACTTCACCACCTATATATATTTTTATTAACAGTAGAGATGTTTTCTCTGATGGCCCCAACCCTATAAACTCTTATGCACAGGCTTAGTAACACATGTGCTTACATGTTTTCCTTTAAGTAGCTTAGAATTTTCTGCTTCTTTGTATTGGACTATTCACATATGCAAAGTCCACATCTGAAGTGCTAAAAGAATCTGGGGCCAAATTCACTTTTTTTTTTTAAGAAAAAGTATATTAAAAAGGCAAAATACCTCTACAAATGCAATTACTTCTAAAAAGACTTCAACATATACAGGCTGACACAAACTATAAATTTATTTTAAAGAACTGTCAGTGTCTCCCCACAATGCTTACCCTCCCTTTGCTAAAGAATGGACATAGTGAGTTATGCAATGGGGTTTTTTACATCAGTTCGAATCTGCAGCTGCTGAACTTTGTTTCCTGAGTGTCAAGTGAAGCTTCATCCCTGACACAAGTAGTTACCATATTATCAGCAAGAGGAAAGGCAGCACATAGGATTCTAAGGCAGGAGGGACTCAAGAATACATAGCTGCAAAGCTCAGGAACCAGGGCAATATTACAGTCAAACCCTCAGAGCTAGTTCTAACAGGACTGCTATCATACTGCAGGAAGTAGGGCATCCACATTTTTCAAAAGAAAGTAACATAAAAGCAGGTTACCAGGTAGCTCATATGCTGCCACTTGCTAGCAGTGCTTTCTGAAACAGCAGGACCTCTGTAAACCTAAGGTCTGCTTTCTTCCAGTTGAATTCATGGGGAAAAAATTTCTAAAGTTTCTTTTTGCCACCTGACTGGTGATTCCATTGCCTCCCACAATGAAACTACCAACACTTCGTGGCAGAAAGTGAGCTATTTTTTCCTTATGCAGTACTTAAAAAAAAAATCTGCCCCCTAAAAACAGACCTAGGAGCATATGAAATGGGAACTGGCAGTATCCAGTCCCTTTACAGGAACATTGTGCTTTTTGTCCATTGTCTCACTAGAAAATTTCTTCCTGAAGTTGGTTGCTAAATTAATACATGAAGCTTATACATTTTTTTCTATAGATGTGAAAAAAAAAAACCAAAAAAAAAACCTAAATTGCAACTCACTATGTCCACCTTTCTAAAAAAAGGCAAGTACGTTTGCTTTTCAAAGCAAATCATACGTCGAATTTTAAACATGTCGGTGACCTTAAATTACTGGTATTCCATCATGGGATGGGAATAGAACCTCCTCAAATCTAATAAACAAAGATCATAACTTAGCTATTCCTTGACAAATGAGAGGCATTTAAATGTTTTTTAAAACCCATCTTAATCTCACCATAATGCTCAAAATTTGATAGTAATGAGCAATTCCTATTAGCCATCTTAGGTTTGTTCCCATTAAGGTACTAAATTATCTGGAGCTAAATACTAAGAGCAAATATAAAAAAAAAATCAGTTAAAAAATCCCTCCAAGTAACCAAAGTAACTGTCTCAAAAGTTCCATTATACTTACATAAAGGAGAAGAGAAGCTAATTTTTGTATTTCAGGTATCAAACAATGAACACACAGTAGATATGTAAATTGACAAAACATTCTCATATCCCCTCCATTCAAATCCCAAGCAAATTCCAACCATCCCCAATGCTGGAAAGGTTACAGCCAGCCTCTCAATGGAGACATAGCTTCAGGGAAGCTGAAACCAACAGTTCAATTATAATTTCACAGAACAATTACTACTACAATCCTGAACGAGATCTTTCAGAACTGGGCACCTGAAGATAAACATGAGCTTAAAAGCAGAGCACCAAAACCGATGTGGTTCTTCATTTTTCAAGTGTCAGCACTCAGCAATGACTTTAGTGGCAGCTGCTGAGTGCACAGAGCTTCAGAAGACGCTTAAATGCAGACTCAAAAATGTAATTTGAGATACCCATATCCTAACCATTACTTTTAATAAAGTCTTAGCCATGTCTCCAAGACATCTGACTCCTGAACACCTGATACCCAGAGCCAGGGCTGCTCCTCACACTGGCACTGGCCCCACTAAGTGAAGTACTCTACTCTATGTAATGTGCCCTTGACAGCCGCCTCACACAGGATTAGCTTGCTGCCTCATTAAGAAATGAGCTGGTGACAAAAAAAATAACAACAAAAATACCAAACAAACCAACAAAAAAACCAACCCCAACAAACAAACAAAAATTCTCCAACCTGTCTTTTTATTCTCTTGTGCCCCAATAGTCCATAAACTATGTACAGTCAGCACACAGCCAGCACCTACCAGAGTCAGTTTATCCCTCCCCATGTAGGGTGATGTACACATGTCACACAGTGAAACTGAGGTTTTAGTATAAGCCACATTTTCTTTAAGTTAGGCTATCAAGAAAGTAAATTAGATTTCTAATCCAGTAAACTGAATTCTTATTAAAAAAGACAAATTTAGCTGCAAACTAGTCTGCATCTGAAGGCTGAGTATCAATATTTGGTCCAGTCCCTTCTGGAGTAAATAACTTATCACTACAGCTATGATGTCAAACATTCCCTCTTTGTTCTAAAACATATGAAAATACTCGATTAATAAATCATTTCTAACAATAAACAAACCCTAAAAATCTGCTGACTTGCCATATAGCTCCAAAAACTGACATTTCAACACAGAACATAATTCCTACAATAATACCGGAACACAATATGACAAGTTTTACACATTGTTTTAACTTCTGTAATTTGAAATTCATTTACACAAGTAGGTGTTATTTTTAACATAGAAAATTTGGGGTGATTTTGGTCCCTTTGTAAGTGCATTCTTTTAGACTCCCTGAGTACTGTACATTCCTTTTCTACAGTGAATTCTGACTGGAAGATGCTGAATAACATGGTTTTGCATTGCTGCATATAAAGTAAAGTCTATTGCTTAAAATGAAACACAGCAGCGTAAGATTTTACAAAATATGCAGCTCACGTTTCAGCATCTGAACTACATGTGAGCCTTCAGCTTCCCCCGATGGCTCCTTTGGGCTCTAGAAGTGCTCTAACTTATATCCACAAAGACAGTCCAAATGCAGTTACTGTTATTATTTATGTCTTGGCAGATAATTCTTATCAATCTATTGTCATTTATACCTGCAATTTAACACACTGGAATAGTCAAAGCCCTCTTGGACCAGCTATCTCTATTCAGGCACTCCAAGGTCAGTAGCCATAGTTGTGTAGGTTTTTATAAAAGAAACAGAAATTATATTAACAAACCAACCACCTAACTGCACATTTTCAAAACACAGTAGTTCTTAACAGTTATTAATTAAATAATAATAATAATAAAAATATTATACCACTTCAATATGAGTACTCATATTGCAGTGTGAGTATAAGAAAAGTATTGACAATAAACTGTAGCATATCCAGTATCCAGTTCCAAAAATAACTGTGGGTTACAGCAGTGCTGAACATTTGCTTATTGACATTTTATATTTTTATGAAAAAAGAAAACTGGGCAGCACATTGAAACCGAAAAGAAACTCAGGTAAAATGAGTTTACTTTTTAAGAAATAATTTATAAAATAAGAAATAACTAACAGTTCATTATGTAGGAACAATATAAAGAGTTTAAGGTTACTGAATCAATCAGTATATACTAAAGATAAGTTACTTTGATACCAAATGAGGCTTCCAGTTTCACTTAAGAACTTTGAACTATTTAGCTCATGAAAGAATACCCTAAATTCAACAGATATGGCTGAATCTGTGCACTAGTTAAAATATTGTAACTGCACATAAAAAGATGCATTTATATACAGTTTTTACAGTGTATGCACATGTGTGTATACATTTTTTTACTCACCAACAAACACAACACAGACAATAGAAGGCAGCATAGAAATAGTGTTTTGAATATAAAAATGCTTTGTTTTCAATTTAGTAGAAAATGTGTAATTTGCATTTTGGCAGACTTACTGGTACAACTATACAAAACCAGGAAAAGGGTCATGCAAAAGGGTTAAAATTCTTCTCCAAAGTAAATAAGGGAAAACAAAAACACCTAGTAGATTTGAGAGTACTTTGCAGTTAATGGAAAAAGCATCTAAAAGACAACATAAGGTACAGAAATAGTCTGGTTTTTTACTTTATACCTGGTTGTACCCTAGTACGGTTATTGTGATGTTCAATAAAAAATTAAAAGAACATCTTTCTTCCCTTCCTTTCACAAATATTTTGTCAAATTTAACTTATTTCAAAAGCATAGTGGTATAATGGCCATTAAAAAAAAAAAAAAAAAAAAAAAGAACATATTGTGGACATAAAATGTTACAAAAAAAAAGCAGACTCAAAAATATATATTTTTCTCACACTTAAAATTATATTTGTTAAAAAAACCCCAAAGCTTTCACAAGGTCAGACCAACTATCGCCTTTTCTAATAAACTCAGTACGTACACTCCCTGTACATCCTGTTTCTCTTGAGCATTGAGCCATTGTTCTTATACACAAGGAAATGACTCTGCAGGAATTCAACTGGTTTGTAATTTTTTTCAAATTACTATAGCTCTTTTGTATTTGATTGGGTTTTTCATTCCATTTTAGCTGCAACGTCTAACATGCTCCAAGACATACTCAGGGAAGTGCAGGCTGCAGACCTGCAAGCCATCCAGCTTGCATGGCATCCTTGGATATTCATCTTCTTTCCATTTGTTTTCCTCTGGATCAAAAGTGAGAATGGAATCACTGTAATGACCATTGTAACAAAGGCCTCCAAGAACCATTATCTGTTTGTCCAGAACAGCTACACCATGACCACTCCTACCTATTGGCATAGAAGCCAATATAGTCCATTGATCAGTATCAGGGTCATAGACTTCTGTAGATGGACATCCTTGAGATTCAAAGGAAGCTCTCAGGATCACACAAACACCACCAAAGACATAAAGCTTACCATTATAAGAAATCATTTTGTGAAAGCACCTCGCATAATTCATTTTGCATTTGTTCTCCCAACAGTTAGTGACCACTTGAGTTCTCCGTGTTCGCTGCTCTACTGTCCCTTCTTTACTGGGATCAAACACACACACTTGCTTAGAAGTTGAAGATGATGTAATTCCACCAGTGATATACAACTTGTTACCAAGCACAGTCCCTTCATGTCCGTACTTATTTACTGGATAGGGATCCACAAATTCCCATTTATCTTCAGTAATATCATACCGTTCAGTGGAGTAAAACGTTTCATCACGGGTTCTCCCAGCCACTGCATAAACATACCTGCCAATCACTCCAACAGCAAACTCAGAACGTGGCACAGACATGTCTGCCATTCGTAACCAAGTGTTCTGTCTTGGGTCGTATCTAAACACTTTGGATGAAGCATGGAACTCACCATCTGGCCCCAGTTCTTCCCCACCTAATAAGAACACGAAATTATTTACAATGGCAAGGCAGTCTGGTCGTAAAGGTACTTGAGGACCCTCTAGTTCCCACCAGACCCTTGGTTTGTGCAAGAGAAGAATTTTACTGTTTACCATACTGTGTCCTATCATTCCTCTAAATACTGCAGTCTGGGGTTTGGCTGAACGAATTTTGTTCGATTTCATTTCCATCAAAGGCTGTTGGTGAACGCTATGAAAGTAATTCATGGCTTGGTCAACCTCATGTCGCAGCTGCCGGGAGTATCGATAAAACTCTGATGTTTTTACCTATAAATACATTTAAAAGATATTAAATTCTGACCAAGAGAAACAATCCAGAAAACTTAAATCACTATATGTCATTAGAAGATATTGTACTTTGCTTCATTCAGGCAATCTCGAGAGCAATTGCATTTACGCATGAAGGTTTAAACTGATGTACTGTTATCCAAAATCCAGAAGGCAATTTAGTGATTAAGAGCAGTGACTAACATTTTCAGCGGAATAATCACATGCAGAATTTATGCTGGAATTAGGCACTACTGATATCCCCAAGTCTAAAAACTATTAATTCTTTCTCCTGAAAACAGCTTCTGTTCACCTTCAACTTAATTGATGAAGTACCCAAATTAAAAATTCCATTTTTTCCTGGGTTTCAAAAACACTCTATACACCCATTCTGTGGTTAACAAGATCTACTCTAGTCCATTTGTTTTTCTGAATTCTCAGAAATTAAGCCTGAACTCTGCTAGGCTCTGCTAACAGGGCTATTTAATTGCCATGGGATGGGAAGGGAAGGTACTCAACCACCTTCCTTCAGAATATGTGCTTGCACCAACCACTCATCATGACAACGACCTTATGGTTTCCCCTCTGAGTCTCCACATGTTAACACATGCCTTTAACACAAGAAGGAAACATCTCCACCTATAATCCTTTGGTTGTACATTTCTGTGACAAATTGCAGAGGTAGGTTTGAACTGCCACTTCCCAGGTGAGAGTTACAACCTAAAAGCCATGCCTGCTGTTTTACTGGAGTTGAAGGCACAGGGGAAAAGAAGAATTCCTTCTGGGACCCTTCCTACTGTCTAAGCCAATTCAATGGCCGGAGGCTTGTCCTGAGACCATTCCAAAACACACCCCTGTCTTGAACATTTTAATTAATCTAGCTCAAGGCAATCCTCAGCTCACCGTGGGAATCTCTTCAGATGCCTCACTATTCCTGTACAGTCTGGTGTAACACGGCATTCTGAATCACACTTCTAAAACAAAACCTGCTAGATGCTGCCAAATCCACAAACCCTCCATCAGATTTGATCCTAAATCCCAGTTTCTTTCACATAAAATTGGATTGCTTTCGAACAGTCTAAAAGCCTTTAGTATCAACCAGCTCCAAATAAGAAGCAATGCTCTGAAAAAAAATCAGTGGCCACTCTGAAATTTCAGGTGATCACAAGGTAACACCAGGAGCTACTCTTTTTAAGTATATTTTACCCCACCTCCTCCTATCCTCTGTCCCAAAGAACAAATGCCTCAGGGGTGGTGGTATGAATTTTGACATATATGGAAAGCAATTAGTAAATTAATATTCTTTATACCTTGTGAATAAAGTAGCTGCTTGTTCCATAAATACATACCATTAAAATTTTGTTAGCCATCTGGTAATCATATCTTTCTTGTGTAGTAATTAAGACATTCTGCTGTCAAAGAATGATTTTTAACAAAAAATCTTCTGAACTGTTATTACTGAATACAATTTGCACAGTTTTTGAGACAGTTTGAAACACCAGATTTCAAAAAGAAAGCCAAATATTAACCTACTATTGCAAAACAATGTATAGCTCAAGAGTGACTGTGACTTGATGTTTTTATTTATACTTTTTCTTTCCTCCACTTAAATTTTGACACAGTCAACAATTTCAAGCAATCTTTGTTTGAAAAAAGGAGGATGGTCACATGCAGATCATATATATTATTCTTGTAACAATGTCCAAACTCTTTCTACTATTTTTACCAGACGTGATTTTGGAGCAAAAAGGTTTGCTCAGGTATGGCACTTACAGAAAACACACAGTAAGCCCAACTCTTGTGGGAACAACAGCTCTATTTTCTTGTTGCAAATAAGTAATATATCATACAAAGGCAGATTTGCTCATATGGTATTTGTTACAATAAACCATATATACCTTGCCTGACTGAAAAGACTGATCATAAATTACAGAAAATATGCTGGCAGGGAGAACCACAACACAGAAAAATGGTAACATATAAAGATTAAAAAAAAAAAAGAAAAATAAAGTTGAAATAACAAAGAATCATGGCTGGGCTACTTTATCCTTAAAATGAACTTTCAAATTCTAAGCCAGCAGGACTACTTCAGGCATTCCCAAACTGAAGCCATCCTCTTTGGAGTTAAATGAAAATACAAATTATCTTTGATCCACCTATATGCAGTTCAGGTTTTCTTGGACAATTATGGAAGACAACAGGATCAACATGCTTTCAATGTGAAACATATCAGTAAAGCCTGGCAGAGATGGAAATTTTTTTTTCTTTCTCCCTCAGCATTTACAACTCTGTTATTAGATATAGAAATTGGAATGCCAGCCAGAAACTGGAATTAAAATAAGCCTACAACCTCATCACTGTACTCCTCCACATAGCCTAAATCTCACCCCATGAAAGCATGCCAAAGAAAACAAGGAGTATCTCTAATTCCAGAGAGAGACCCTCAAGACCAGGGAAACAATTTTTTAGTTTACTACTGCTTATCTTGACAATGGCACTCATGTCAAAGCAAAGCCTCAACTCCTACCTTAAATGAAAAAGACATGATGGAGCAAATGCAACTCCCAGTTATTAACACCCCTCTGTGACTGAAGTTCACGGGGAAGCTTCAACAAGCACAAGTTTGAAGAGCTGAACATGAAAATACACAGCACTAGCAATTCTTACAATATGCAGAAAAAAAATCCCACAAAACAAGAGTGATCGACTACCTCACTTCTGGTACGAAAAGGTAATAGGAGCATTCCTAGACTTGGCTGTCAAGGAAAAATATCCCTGTTTTTAGCCATCCACCTTTCACCAGCATGACCTCTGCCATACAGGAGCAGTACCTCTCTTGAGGCTCAAATGATGGTCTAAGATGAATGTTAGGATATGCCTATAGGAAAGTACAGACTGCTCACACTTGCTTAATGCAAATGAAAACAAAGCAAATGTAGGTCATTTGACCCACTTTCAGTCACACATTATGAAATGTTCCAGAAATATTTGAAAGCCCTGTTCTACTAGTAAGAAAAACCCTCTGCCTACACTTTCAAATAATTTTACAGTAATTTTTATGACTTGTGTATATAATCAAAAGAGACAAGCATTTAAATTAAGGTAATTTGGTATTTAAAACAACTGTAAGTTGTGAATGTCAGCAGATGAAAGCCCATGACCTTTTGTAGGAATTTCTATCTGATACTCAAAACACACAGAAGGAAAGCCTTCAGCTTTCAAAAGTAGGCTCTGCCACTACCTGTAAGTAGCAACAAGAAGTTCATCAGCAAATATCACAGTGCTTATCAACAGAGCAATCTTCCTGTTAAGTTCAAATGGAGAAGCTCTGGAAGCAATGTGTCCATAATTACCAACACTCAAACAGAACACACGGATTTCAGCAAAACAGGTGGAAATATACAGCAATTGTCAGGAACCCTGAAGTGAAACAAATGTGCATTCCTGAAGAGTACATAATCAACTCTGAATTGATAAAAATATATAAATGCTTCAAAGCATTTTCAAAGTTTTCTTTAAACTGTTCTGTTATCTTGCTGAAGGGTCTCAAAGGCATTTTAAGTGGACTTCCATATTAATCCCAGTCATACTGTGAAAAAGGGAATTTAATCCAAGTGCTAAAGCTTTGCTCAGGTGATTTTCTGTACATTCTTTCAAATTCTTTAATTTTCTGGAGAAAACCCACTTAAAGAGGTTACGCTTGGACACAGCCTAATGTAAGAGTTTCCACAAGATCTCCAGAGATGGAGAAATGGGAACTATCTCAATGTATGAACTACCAGTGGTTCACAGTCAGTCTTTCTGCTACACAGACTGAGAAAAGCATAAACAAAATCAAATGCGTTATTCCATAATAAAAGACGTAAAAATAATTAAAAACATCCATTCCTTTACTTGCCCCCTGGGGCATCTCTCCAGTCACAGTAAATTTGAGCTTTAATGCATTTCCTCTTTTTCATTTTAAACCAGTGAAACACTCCATAAAAAGTGCTGGCTTTCCAAGTTAGTGCAGTGATTAATCATTGCCTATTTTTCTGCTGTATTGAATGCATGCTTTTCTAGTTGTAGCAGCTATGGAAGTATCCAAATCTTCAATTTGTATTATATGAAGAAGAAAAAGAAAAAATTAAGCCATTACTTTCTAATTTGAAAAGTTATCTCCACAAAAGACCAGCTGTACCCCACATTATGTTCATCAGCTTTCCCCCTGCCCGAAAAACAATTATGCCAATTAATAAGCTGCAGGAAGAGCAATGAAATGCAAGGTAAATGTTCTGTAACACATGACTTCAATATACAGACTTTTAAAAACAAAATTTCCTCATACAACCATTTACAGCTACTGCTGTATTTGTATTCTTGTTACTTAGGTTTGTAATTAAAAGCTTTCAAAATCAGAAAGAAAGGCTTCTTTTGAACTGCCCAAACTAAACAGCTATTATTTGTGCACCTGGTTACTAAATTTTAATATGTTATTATATGGGGTGGCTATTATCTTGCTTCCTTCTGTAGAACTGGTAAAAATCCTCAAAGACAAACAAAAACAAAAGCACAGAAAAATCTCAATGGCTCATAATGTCACTTTATCATCTCTAGACATGTAAACAGAGAACTATTTTTAAAGATTCCAACTTTTTGTGCTACTATTTCCTAAGGCTGCCAATTTGGAATGTGTGATGCAACTCAAACTCAGCTACGAGGACTACAGAAGCAATGCCCCACTCTACAGCATCTGTATCACACTTCTAAGGACCAAACTCTTACTCAAAACAAAACCCCAAACTTATTTTACTAGAGATTAACCTCAATCAAAACAAAAGATCCATCAACTCCACCAACAAAGATCCTTATTATTTTCACATCTATCTATCTCCAGCCATATTCTAATCACAGTTATAAGCTGGTATGAGAACTGCTCAGTACCAGTGAAGGACTTTGAAGGGCTATTCTGCAAGAATAGAAATCACTTAAGTGTTTTCAGCCTAACCATAGAAAGGCACAGCCTCTGAGCAGCAAGGACGATGCCCTCAAATTGATTACTCAGCTGCTTCTTTTTAGAAGCTGGAAATTGTCAAAATCAAGCTGGAGTCTAACTCAATCTAATCTTTCAAATCAGAGTGGAGTCAACAATCTATATGCCACAATTAAGAAGCTCTGCACATAATAAATACTGCTAGCAAATCTATTCAAATCAACAGTAATCTTAACACCCAAAAGTACTGAGCAGAGCACCTATTTACAATAAGAGGGACCCCTAACTTCATCCACACTTCTTATTCTATACTTCAGCAAATGAAGTTGTGTAAGTAGATAAAGATGTACTACTAGAAATGGAGGTAAACGGGAAAAAAATTTCAACACATTTATGTAAGGTAAAGTCACGGTAACATAAAATTACAATGACATCATCTCAAAAATTACAATTTTCTAGGAACAGGACAGGAGATATTAAAAAATAATGTGCTATTCATCCTACCTCTACAACAGAAGCTGATGAATCTAGTGATTAGTAAACTTTTGATTTAAGCTAGCAATTAATAAGCATGAGCTAGTCATAATAAACCTTACAGACTGGACATAAAAAAATTCTGGGTTTTAAGGACAGATTTTGAAACAACATTTCAATCTGAGTAGTACACAGAAACTAAATGAAGCTTAAACAGTATATTTCAGGGAAATCATGACATGGTTGCCTCCAGTAACACAGAGATTAACTCAGTGATGCAGGTGAAAGGCACTTTTAACTTCCTCAAGACTTACAGAGCTATGGATATGTTTAATAAAAAAGGAAAGCACAACATGAATAGTGAAACTTGTGCTTTTCCCCAAATACTTTGCCTATTCCCTAAATCCTTATTTGATTTATATTTCTATTTTTGCCCATGCATCTGTATGTACTTTAAAGGCTGAGGAACAAAAGGAGTACCTACTCATAGTTCACATGACTTTCTTCCAGGACATTTTGTAGTAAACAAATATGCTGTACCTTCACTTGTGCATTCTAAATGCACACCAACCTCCAGGTATTAATCTAGACTCACCAATTTTTAAATTGTACATCTCTCAAAAAAAAAAAAAAAAAGTATGGAACAGAAGGGCTTAAGAGGACAAAAGTATCCTTACCATGACTTGCAAAGTTAAATTATACAAGTTATTTATATGCTACAGTGACAGGCATCTGAGAAATGTGTATTAGAAAGATTACAAAAAAGTACGTAACAAGCCAGCCAGTGTATAGCCAATACAGAGTTTGGTGAACTGGAAGAGTCAACCTCAGACTGTATTTGGTACATTCATGCATTTAGTTATGTGCTGGCTTCAGAAAAAGGGTGGATACTGTTTGTGGATCTTCAAAAAAGGGAGTTATACCACTATTTCCCCATTCTACAGATAGAAGAAAGAGGCTCTCTCTGAGTTACTGCCAGAACAATGAACAGACATGTTCTTTTATTAAAAAATAAAGCGTTCTATATTCTGATATTGGCTCCAACTGCAGTTGTCCTTTGTCACTTGTCCTGCTGGATAACTTAATACTCTCCAGCCAAGGTAGAACACAAATGCATTCCTAGCTGCAGTAACAAATGACATAATTAGCTCTGCTTCCCTCTGCTGAGCTGTCTCACTCCATAATCTGCACTGGCTTTTCTCTGCTCCCACATACAATTAACAGAGAGGGTATTACCAGCGAAAGCTTTTGCATGCAGGTATATAACCTGGCATGCTGAAAGCAACTGATCTCCTGAAGTTGTATCTGTTGGGCCATTTGGTAGCTGTCAAGATAAAACATGAGAGGCACTGTATGCAGGGTTTATACCAGTGATATTAAAACCAACTCCAGAAGTTATAACCAAATATAATGCTCAAGACTAACATACACTTTCACTTGCACTTACAGAAATCTAACTGAAGACAGCTTGATGCTTGAGCTGGCATCCCCAAAACTAATACTGCTGAAGCAGACTCACACAAATCCTTACCTTATTAGATTAACCTCAAAAAATATGTTGTGAATTCTGTAAGTTTTATTACTGAAGGGCTTAAATTATGCATTAATATGGTAAAAGTGCTATTTAAAACAAGACACTATACAGCATGTTGCAGAGTTGAGCTCCTACTAGTTAAAAATGTTTTAACCCAATATAAACATTACATTAGTGTTCTAAAATACGCTTAGGCATTTATGTCTATAATCCAATATAGCATCATAAATATATTTTATGTATTATTACTTCCTATACTCAGTTCACACACACAGAAAAAAATCCAAATATAAAAATTCACTAGTCTGAAGTAATTAATAGCTCTTATAATCTAAAATACAAATAAGTCTAAGAATTACTCCTTAGATGATCCAGTGGCCCTGAAAAACACCAAACCCAATACAACCGTGTCTGTATATTCAGTAGATACTAAAGTAAAAATATATGGAAGATTAATTTGTAAGAAGCACAACAAAAATATGGGGTCTGAATTCCTATTAATTTGCTGAGAGGTGAAAAATACAGAAGTTGAAGTTGTATTTTATAACACAAAATTAACATTGTTAAAATAGCACATATCAAGTAATTCCTAACCTGAACACTGTTACTGGCCTGTGAGAGAACTGCTTACAAAGTACTGTAATCCTCTACTGTTAACAAATATTCAGAGATTCTGAAGACCTAGAAAACAATTTTTTGCCTGTTCTTTAACAGAAGAGTAGAAAAGGCAACTTCTCTTTTAACTCTTATTCCATACAATGAAAGTTAACTATAAGATCACCTGTTGCAGAGTCCTCTGATACCTAAAGTAAATCATTACATTTGACGCCATCAATAATTTTTGATTGTATTATGTCTTGTGTACAACCAAGACAATGTGTAACTTTGCAGGATCAGGGCTTACTTCTAACTGCTGTGTAATAGCACAACCACTGAAGATAAAACAACAGCACCATTCTGCAGATTTAAGAGCAGATGCTACTTGTCACTTGTAAATAACTCTCCCCTGTATTTAAGCCACATAAGATCTACAGTCACTATTTTTTATTATATTGATAACAATCATCATAACGTATACCCTACATATTATGTGCAGGTCTAAAGTCTCTGGAAACAATAAGCAATTTGTGGAAAACAGTTAAGAATATTTGAAATCAAACTAGACACAAGTCACCTTATTTTCCATATTAAGTCACATATAAACATGTACTGCAAACATACCGGTTCTCCAGCCACTGTAGTATTATTGTCTAATAACCAAAGACAACACTTCTAGATGTTTGCCTTCTATGCTTTATTTTATTAGAAAAATAAATGCTATCATTTTGTTCCTTTTCATAGCTTCCAGAATCTTACCTATTTAATGGCATGCTGCCCTAGCTAAATGATGAATCCTGCCTATTGCTTTTCAAATGCACCAACCTTCTCAAAAACACTGGATGGTGTCATCAAACAAAACCTGATGTTCTGAATGATGGTGTCCGTATGTCTCCAGCGTCTTCTATCATGGCGTAGCCAGGCCTGAACAGCTTCATACAGCTCTATCTCTGGAAACCTGCTCAGATGATCATTATCCAAGTAAGACATGAGCTTCTCAAAGCTCAGGTATGAAAGAAAGTCAGGTCTGGACATGAGTGGCACAAAATTCTCTAGCAGAAAGGAATCCAATTTTTCCCTGACTCCTTCGATGTTTACACCAAAATCATCCAGAAGTCTCATAATTTCTGCACAGTTTTCTAAGCAGATTTTAGCTAAGAGAAAAGAGCAGCAAAACTTTACCACCTCTATAAGCTGGACATACATGGCAGCCTGAAGGATTTCATGAACAGTGTTCATACTCAGTTCAATAGTTCCATAGTACATGAATTGGAGGACATGACTGAAGCCTGTAGCTGTCAGACCTTTCAAATGGATTTTGTCCTGATCTCGTTCTCGCATGTCTGCTGTGAACATAATCCTGAAGTAATCACTCTGGGTGGCAAGCAGTGCTTTATGGGCCTGAAATTGGTGGTCTTCAATGACAAGTGTGACATCAAGAAGCAATCCCTCCTCATACAGTGCTCTGAATCCTGCAGAGACACTGGTGTCATGGATGGAGGAGCTAAACCCTTCCACGTCCCCTGCCATGAATCACCTGGGGGGAAGAAAGAAAATAAATAAAAATAAAAATAAATCATAATTTCTAATAACATATTACAAGCCCTTCCTGACTAAATAAACCCCAACTGAGATTGCTTTGATTAGAAATTAAGTCTTCACCATTCTTTCTGTTCTGTCTTCAGTTGAAAAATCAACTGAGAAAATAACTTAAAACACAAACTTGAAATACTTCTCCCCAAACCAAATATTCTCATTTTAAAAACAGGGTAATGAACAAAAATAACTATGCAACACTACCAAAATGATTTCTTACTCCAAGTTAATTCATGTCATATAATGAACTAAAAAGGTTGTCATGGTTTTTTTCCTCTCCCCTGTCAATCCTTCTAAAGAATTTATCTCAGGGGAGCAATAAAACACCCACTCTTGGATATCAAAGGTCTTAAAGAAAGGAAGCCAAACTTCCTTTCTGAAGTTTCTGAACTTCAGAAACAAGCTTCAGTAGATCTGTACATTATATGATCTAAAAAAAAAAAAAAAAGTTATTATGTTTTAAAATCTATGTCAAATTTAAAATCTATGTCAACAGTTATTTGTAGGAAAATGAACATTTTCACAGATACTATTTGAGATTGTATGCTTTACTTCTCCTGTAAAAACACAGTCCCATCATGTTCCCCCTCATTTCTTACTATAGCGATTAATATTAAGTTATGAGATCTATGAAGTGCAAAATACTTAAGGCAACAAGAAGCACTGATAAGAATAGGTCACAAAAAATATTCTGTATAGTGGGCTTAGTGAAGCTTAATTGCTCATTAAGCATTTGCAAATGTAGTGTTACTTATATGCAAGCTATAATTAACCTGCAAATTAAAAAAAAAATAATCTAAGAGTAGCAGGATCCTACCCTGTTAAAGTCAATTCAATAATCAAAATAAAAACCTATTCAAAATCCAGAAATTTCTCAAAATGTTGCTCAGCTTCCTTGGGTTTCAGTAGGGTGAAGTTGCCCAACACAGCTTGAACCAGTCAACAATTCCTCAAAGGACCACAGCACACTGCACTTTCCTCCTCTGTCACATTCCAGGACCTGAGCTCCTGCTGCCTACTTTGAGCCATTTCTGGGGTTCATCGGGCTTCTCCAGAAAGTCAATTCAACTCATAACCATGACTAAAAAATAAACTAAGAGCATGGAGGGACAGACGTGAAAAAGACACATGACATAAACATGACCACCCTGACTCCCCAGCACACACAAAACCTCAAAACCAGGAATCTTTCTGTTTCCCAGTGAGCTGACTTCTGACTTGACACTGTGGGGTTTGGCACAAGAACCAACCTGATGCAGAGGGCAGGACATATACTTGTGCAGGAAGAGAGGGAAAGAGCAACAACTTCCCTATTTGGCATTGACTTACTATCAGAATTGCATCAGCTACTTTTGTTCCACTTCATCCCACCTTAAATTACACTTCAACCTTCCCTCAGATATTTGTTACATTTAACTCTGAATTTTTTATAATAAATAAAGCTAATAATGTTTTGGTACGGATAACACACACGAAAATCTAAATAATACCAACACATTAGAAAACCTGTAGATTCTCAAGGTCATAAAATTTCACATAAGTACATGGACCCAGAAGTGACTCTAGGCTGGCCTATATTTCACAGCACCAGAGAGCAGTTACCACTTACCCCCACTTCCTCCAGCACCACATTCTGGCTCTGCCATTGTAACAGGAATGCATTTTATTAGACTCAACAATGGTTAATCATCTCCTCTCCTTCACTCCTCAGCACACATCCTGGAAAACCAACTGGAAATACCCTTTGTGCAAAACTAAACTGTGAATGGGTGTAGCCACACCTCGTGGAATTAGCACCACTCCCACACTGCTGAAGCCTGATGACAGGATCTGTGCATGATAAAGCCAATGCTGGGAGTGCTCGTTACAATTAAGGCTTTCTCACAGAATTCAAATTCCTGAAAGTAAGAGCAGGAGCAAAGAACAAAGATGACAGTCCAATCACTTTCTTACCAGTATCCAAGGCAGCGCCTTCCCTTCAGTGTCACTGAAGACAAAGAGAAACATGCAAACTGCTCTGGAACCTCCCTTTGTGAGTCTCTTACTCCTCAACATCAAATGCATACCAGAAAGAAAAATTACCATCAGGTAATTTTCTTAGTTGTTGCCAGCTCTTACACAAAAGCAGATGAGGAAAGAACCACTTCACTAAATCTGACCACCTCAAAAAGAAGCACCCAACTGAAGAGGAAGCATAAAGCCCGACTTCACAGGATTTTGCTTTCTAACTGGATTTCTGGTATCAAATAAAAAGGTAAGGACCAGTATTAGCTTACTTCCTTTTTTCATCAAAACATTGTAATTCCTCTCCTCCCATCCCCTGTTCTGATATTTAATAATAGCTGAACTCATACCTTAGTCCTTCCTGTTCAAGCTATTTAATGATCACTTGCCTTTCATTTTCATAGAACATACAGCGACTTAAAACAACTCACTGCTGTCTGGAATCAGCCAAGAGGCTCAGTGTTACAAGGACTCTCAAGACAGTACAACTGTGTAAGTTACAGGGCTCTAGGACACCAACTAAGACTTGGCTCAGCATCAGTTCCATGATCAGGGTTAAAAATGGGAAAGGACAGGTGGAATTTGCAAATGTGAGAGTGAGAACAGAATAACACTACTATGTATCAGGGGAGAAAAAGTAAAAAATTAAGCAACATTCCCCAACTGACAGAAGCAATTACATATTCATCTGGAAATAATGGGATCTCCCATCACACAGGTAATACTACTGAAGGGAGTTCTTCAAAAGAGTATGTGCATTACTGTGTACCTAACAGCACTGAAAAACCACAGCAGCAAGCTCCAAACACACAGCAGGATCTTTGCCCTTACCTTGACAAAGGTAATTACGTTACGGGTACTCCTCAAAATAAAAGGAGAAAAATTAACTTGTACACAGGATGGCCCTAAAAGAAAGGGCTCTTTCACTATCCTCAAAGAAGCAAAAAGGAAAAGCTGGAAGTGAAGTGAAGACATGGTAGATGCACCTCCAGTATTGCTTTTAAGGAGGAAAACAAGTAAATAATACTAAACACAATCAAGCAAAAACTCCAAATCCAAAACAAACAAAACACAACACAAACAAAAAACCCTCAACCAAACCATCACCAAAGAGTCCTGGGCAATTGGCTCTAGGTGGCCCCGCAGGTGGCACAGATGACCTTCAGAGGTCCTTTACAACCTCAACTTGTCTGTGAATCTGTGATTGTGTTGCTTTTGCATAGACACTGCAACAATGTAGGGTTTTTTTTTTCAACCTTCTTTTTAATTCTGATTAAATAGAAATAAGATAAATATACATACACCAAAAAATAAGTATATATTATTATCCTTTGAATTTTAAATCTAACAAGGCAGCAATCACTGAAATACTGAGAAATGAAACCCACCTGTATTTAGGGAATACCCTTTAGAGTTCCAATTTTTACATCTCCCTACAACTAGCTATTCCATAAAAAATACTTAAAACACCGAGTCAGCCACAAATCTCCGTAACAGTACGAAAGGAGTCAACACTTTGAAATTATTATTTCTGAATGTTTTAAAAATGTAGGTGTTTAAATCACTTAATCCTTCTTTTCACATTCCTGCTGACATTACTTTTAGTAAATCTAGTTTTCAACATTAACATATTTTTCCTCCTAAACAGCAGTGAGCATTTAATGGATTACTTAGACACAAAACCAGTAAGACTTCTCCTTACACCATCTAAAGAAGCTTCAGAATTCCATGAGTGAAAAGCAAAAGGACTACTTGTCTTCCTGCATTAAATAAAAGGAGTAAATATCCTTTTCTTGGCATAAAGCCATGCACATTATCAGCAGATAAATTTTTCTTTAAAACAAAAAATGTATTACCAGTACAAATACACAAAGGGGTTAAAATAGTACAAAAACTGGGAAAGTAGATAATTAAATGCATATTATGCTTAACTGGTAAAAATCTTCATTTCTAAAGCTAACATCCTCCATCAAAAGCAAATAGCAATGTGGCAGTTCAAACATTAAAAAAAAGCAATACAAAATACTCTCAAACCAAGTAATTTTTCTAAAGCATAGCTATGCCATTCCTCCCACACACATACTTGCAATCTTTGATGTAATTCTAAGCACTATTCAAATGCTGCAGTTATTTCCCAGAGGACAATACATAACATTTTTTTCCATATTTTCAATAAAAATGGAAAATTCAGTTCGATCTTCTTCATGCATGCAAATCACAGCTGCACACTTAATCCAATGGAAGACATGAAGTCTGCAGTGGTCTACAGGAAAAATGGAACAAAAAAAATCCAATGTATAAACAATGAAGGGGAGGTGGGGGGCAATGTACATTGACATTCGTTACTGTTCTGCACGTATTAGAGCTGATCAGGATAATGCAGCACAGAAAGAGTCTGCTGAAAAGCCAAAAGAGAAATACATTTAACCTTATTAGCTGTTCCTTACATTTTTTCCTCTTTAAGCACATAATGCATTAGATTCTACAGTGCTCTAACTGTAAAACCACTTACTTGGAACACTGATTTCTCATTTTTATTCTGCAGCTGTAATGAAAGTCTGAAAATCCTACTCTAGACTGCTTTTTCTTGCTAAACAAGGAGAACCTTCTTTCCTCAGGGTGTCTGAGGCTCTTAGTCACAAGCAGAAGAAATGGAGTCTAAATGCACTAGCTATTGAGAAACAAGTCACAGAATATCTGCTTTTGACTCATGCCCTCCTGGATTTAAAATCTCTCCAAGAGCAGCACTACCTGAAAAAGAGCCCTTTGAATATGTGTCTTTATGTCATATGTAAGCTTATATGCATTTTCTAGGGATAGAAATTTATTGTCCTAGGAAAGTATTAACAATACCAAGTCTACCACACGATCTCAAAGGAAAATTTCAGCTTTCCTTTACTGTTGCTCCTTAGTAATTTATCTGGGATGCTGAGATAGAATGAGCAGGATTTGTTTTGTTTACTAATTACTTGTTCATTTTACCTATCCCATAGATATTCTAAGAAATCATCTTTGTGGACAAGCTGAACAACAAATTTTCACATAATAAAACACTATTATCTATGAGTTACACCATAAAGATATTTCAGCAGACACCCAGAACCATGCTTTGGTTACACAATGTACTAAAATAGAGCTTTAAACAAAATAGTCTCTTCCATCCACTAAATGCATGCACTTAAATGTAAATTTTAAAGCCATCATGCACGCTTTATTTGATCAGGTGCAAAGCAAAGGCTGCCTAGAGCAGAATTTTTTGACCCTAGTTTTGTTAATAAGGAGGACATTTCTCCATAGTCAAATGTTATACACACAGATGAAAATACAAGTATTTGAACACACTAGCACACATTCACCACTGCACATACAGCCGAAGGCTGGGCCTTTGAATGCAACATACTGAGTAAGAATGCAATTATAACATACACAGCATAAATAATTTATCCCCCAAATTAAACCTTTGTTTACATGGTTTAAAACTAAAAACATTAAATTTTGTCAATTTTTTATCATAATCCCCCACTAACAGCAACAGAAGGAGTGATGTCATGTGGGATAGATCAATAACCAGCGCCTATCAAAACTTTCATTGCTACAACAATTGCAACGTAGGGAACAAAGAAATACATCCAGTTTCCATGTGTGAAATCCTTTGTAATTAGTACACTGAATTTGGGAAACCATTTATCTTCAACACATTGTTATGTTCATGTTTAAGACTTCATCCAATCCATCTTGAGAATTCCAAAAGCACTGGATTACTTGAGAATGGAGAAGTTAGGAGCTTACCAATCACCACCAGCCAGAGGAACCAGACTACCAGAACTTAAGACTTGGCTACTCCTGAAAGCTGCCCACACTCCATTTCTTAGGGACACAGAGCTGACCAGAACAGCTCCCCCAACAATATCTGCTCCTGTTGCTATCTGGGAACAATCTGAATTAGCACAGAGCAGCAGTGACACTTGGTGTCATTATGGTCATTACAGCCATGTCAAAAATATCAGAACCAGTTACAACCAAACCTGCTAAAACTCAGCATGGATTGTGCCTCAGCTCAACATGGTTACTCTTCAATCTACGTGTGCCAGAACCTGTAACTGCACTTCACAGACACTAAGATGTCTTGAACCACCTGTCTAAGAAGTCACTGCATCCCAACGCCTGTACAGAAAAACCTGCTCCCAAACACAGAGCAAGCTCAGCTCAACGCTCTGCCAATTGCACTGATACCAGAACAGGTGCCCTGTATAAAACAGTTGATACATCCACCAAAATGAGAATTATCTTTTAAGTGGAAATACCTGTATTACTAATACCTAAAAGTTAAATGATAGTAGTGTTGAAAAGTACAGATTTGCCATTGCTCTCAAAGTGGACAGGACTGCTCTATCCTGAATGATATCAGTCCTTCTTATAGATATATATATATACACACATACATATATATCTGTGTCTTATAGAATGATTAACGATTTCAAATGTAAGAAAAAGGTATGAATAAAGCCTGATTCTGTCACTGTGAAGATTTTTATTAAGAAAATTATAGTGTATTTTATACAGAAAAGTAGCAAGCCAAGTATCTGTTAGTAACAAAAAATCCTATCTTTTCTGACTTATCATAAATTTTTAGCGTAATAAGACAGAAAAGAGTAAGAAGTAGTATTCAAACTATGTTAGTAAAAATATTTTAAATTTAAATTAGGATTGCTAAACTATGCCCTCCATTTGTCTTTTTGTTATCTGTATCTTTATGGCTAATTTAGTATGCACTCCTAGCATCTTCTGAGAAAATGACATTAATCGTGCCCTTTGTCCAAGACACACAGGTTTTGACCTTACTACCAAATACCAAACTCGTCAGAAACACAGAAATCTCAAACCTATTTTATTTCTACACATATCCCCCAGACTAGCAGCTAGATGAATGAAAAAGGTCTGATATCTCTAGTGTGAGCTCAGTGGTTATCTGCTGTGCTCTGCTCACTGAAAGGCAAATCAACACATGTGTAGATCCAAACCAGCCACAGGGTATAATTAAGGAAAGTGAAAGGAGATGAGTGTCAGTGGAAAGTTTATAGGACATGTGGTAGAAATTAAACACGTTTTCTAGGTGATGGAAGGGAAAACACAGGAAGTATGTGTTGTGCATGATGGTATTCTCAGGGGATCTGAATGTGAACTGGGGCAATGGTGGTGCAAGAGCTGGGTTATTCTACAGACAAGTTTATATAACAAGTCCACAGGACGCCAGACTTCAGTAGTTCTGTCCTTTTATCCAGTAATAACTTTATAATTCTCCTATTTCTTTTCTAAATTAGAGCAGAAAAACCCAAACCCCAAACAATGAAAAGGCAAGAACTTCAAATTTTTAAGTGGCATTGCAGTATTTACCAAATAGATCAAAGCTCTAGTATCAACCCTGGGTAGCTCTACCCGTTCAGATCACGGATACTTTTGCCGCGATCAGGTACGATGGGGGGGGGGGGCGGGTAAAAATGGCCATTTTCGGGGCAGGAACTCAGATGACCTACTTCAGCCTGCCCGCTCGCACGCCCGCAGGCTGAGCTCCCCGGCAAGCGGGGCTGGCGGGCCCGAGGTCCGCGACGTGCGACCGCAGGAGCCCGAGGGGCCCGGCGGGGCTGCGGCCGCCCCGGACCCGCCAGGCGCTCGCTGCGCCCGCCCGGCGCGGCCGTGCCCGATCCCGCTCCAGCCCGCCTGCCGCCCGCCTGCCGCCCGCCGCCCCGGGGAGGAGAGACCCTGAGGGCCAGGAGGGCGCCCGGGCCGCCCTCGATGGGGCGAGCAACGGCGGCGGGAGGGCCCGGGGGATCCTTCACCCACCTCTCGGCAGCGGCGGCGCTGAGGACGCGGCTCCTCCCGCTGGAGCGGCGGAGAGGGGCCCTGGCTCCGTGTACCATACAGCCGGGGGCGGCGGAGGGAGGCGCCGGGGGGCTGCGGAGAGGGGCAATGGCTGAGGCGAAGCCGGGAGGAGGAGGAGAAGGAGGCGGAGGAAGAAGGGGGGATCCTGGGCTCCCTCCTCCCCGCCGTCCGCGCTCGGGGGGGGGAGGTGGGAGCCGCCCCCGGCGCGCCCGGCCCGGCCCGGCTTCGCCCCCGGGAGCCCCGCCGCCCTCACGCTTGTTTACCTTCCGCGCTGCCCCGCGCGGCCGCGGGCGCCATGTTCCCCCGGCAGCACCGCGCCGGCCGTCACTTCCGCCGCACCTGCGGCCGCGCGGGCGGGCCCGGGGCGAGGAACGGCTCCGGCACCGGCACCGGCACCGCCCCGTGCGGGCTCGGCCAGACCCCGGAGCCCCGGCACGCCCCGAGGAGCACGGCTGGGGAACGCGACACCGAGAAGCATCATCTGCGTCCGGCCCGCGAGGACGCGCATCCACACGCGTCCGCTTTCAGAGGGTCGGTGTTGCGCTGCTCTCGCCCGCCCCGCTGCCTCCGGGCTGCGGCCGAGTTCTCCGAGGCGATGGCGGCTCCCAGGTTGCTATGGCAGCTGCCCGGTGCAGCGCTGCATCTCGCCCGGGTACAGCAATCGCCGCTCGGGGCCGGCTGCGCTCCTCCCCGGACAGCGGCCAGCCGGTGCTGCGGGCTGATCCCAGGCTGATCCCAGCTCTCAGCTCTCTGCTTCCCGCAGGCTGCTCTGCCAGCCGCCCTGGGAACCGGGTCACCAGAGCCGCAGGGGTCAGGGCCGGCAGCCCTGGAGCAGCGAACAAACTGCACGCAAGGAGCACGGCCCCGAGTGGGGTGAGCAGGCCTCTGCCTTGGTACAAACAGTACCCCTTAGCTTTCGCTATTTTGCTTTTGCCCGGCAAACTCAGATTTCATTGTACGAGATGAACTAACCTACGTGGACCTTGGTTTGCCACTACCACCCCCAAACCATTTGCTACACTTCTATGTCACTCACTGCTTTAAATAGCAGGCCACAGGCTGCCATCCTCTCCCTGTTTACTGCTGTTCCATCCCGTTTTCAGTCTCTCATTATCACCCCCCCCCTCCAATTCTTGATTTATAAAACAAGAGTATGTTCTCTATACCTGCCACCCCCAAGCTGAATGCCTTTCCCACCTTTCACGGCTTCACAAAATGAACCAGCTACTCCATGTGGTGCCTTACAAAGACTTCTCAATGCTATTCCCACTCCCCTCAACTGCCTACCTACTGCTCCCTCTACTACAATCAAGTTCCCATTCACTCCTTCATCCCAATGGCCAGACCTCTCTCGGCTTTGCCTTACTACTCCATCTCATTCACTCATGCAGTAAATTTGCCCCATCTCCCCAGTCACTGTTTTAAAACCTGTTACTTGTGTGTTTATGGTGAAAGAACTGGCCTTTACAGACTGACCCTGCCAAGACAGCAGGAGTTCCTGCCACCTATGTCTCCAAGACATTCCCTCCCTTTTCCATAGTGGATATCTGCTGCAGCAAACATGTACCCACCCATATCTAATGCTTCAACAAAGAAAAATGAGTAGGAACTAAATTTCTCATATACAGAAATGATACAACCAAAACTTCATGCATCCTTCTGCACCCCTCAGACTTTTCACCTTCATAGGTCAGCAAGGGTGGAAAAAGCCAAGCAAGACTTTTATGTTTTACCTGACTGTCATTTTGCTGTCTGCAGTTTGTGTCATGCTGAGGTGCAAGATGGCCTTCAGGTCTCTCCTACACACTGTCGCAGAATCACAGAAGAGGACCTCAAACCTAGCCACAGAACAAAACCATAGCAGCTTTGACATTTAAAACAGCTCAACATTTCAAAGCACAAAAAAACCCTCTCATACCCTTCTCCTTCACATTGAACAATTTGCTTCTACCAAAAAATCAAATATGTTAATAATGTCTCAATTCTAGTCTCCTAAAAAAATTAAATAATTACATTTAGGCCGCTGACAATTACCACTAGTCTCAAGATTACCTTACTGAATATTAATTTGAGATTTGGGTTGACCCCTCTGATTTAGGCATTTGTAGAAAGTCAGTGGCTAAACAGTTACCACTGGCTTAAATAAGACTATTGCAATGAATAAAATTCTGAATGTAGTTTTTTTGAGCTATATTAATACACTACTTAGGATCTAATTCTAGTATTTTTAAACTTTATTTAATTAATACATAAATGTCCAATACACATATATTGACATATGACATAACGTCAACTCCTAGAAATGTTCTTACCTATTTTAGTCGGGGTTGTTCAGCCTGGAGAACAGAAAGCTCTGAGTAAACCTTATAGAAGCATTCAGTGCTTAAAGGGGGCCCAAAAGAAGACTAGAAAATGGACTTTTCACAAGGGCATAGAGTAACAGAACAAGGGAGAATGGCTTTAAACTGAAAGAGGGCAGATTCAGATTAGGTGCTAGGAAGAAACTCTTTACTGTGAGGGTGGTGAAGCACTGGCACAGGTTACTCAGAGAAGCTGTAGTTGCCCCATCCCTGGAAGTGTTCAAGGCCAGGCTGGACGGGGCTCTGAGCAGCCTGGGATAGTGAAAGGTGTTTCTGCCCATGGCAGGAAGATTTGAACTCAATGATCTTTGAGGTCCCTTACAACATAAACCATTCTAGGATCCTACAATAATTGACATTTACAGACTTTAGACTTTTCTGCTTTTCTTTATATTACAAACATTTCCAAATAACTGAATCAAAATAGCAAGAGAACCTCAGAATATGTAAAATGTACAATCTCAATGTTAAAATAGAAGCAACAGTTTGCGTAGTTTTTTCATATTCCTGACAGGGTGTTTGGCAAGGATTGAGTCCTTTTTAAAGGCTGTTTCAAATGTGACAAAAACTATTTCCATAATTTCACACACACTGCACTGCATTTATTGCATAATTTAAGCAGCTAAGTAACTACAGAGTCCAGCACTTTCAGTTCATTTTCATAAAAGAGGGATTATACATGTGTGAACATCGAGGCAACTACAACCAAGTATTGCATCATGTTCTCACTACACCTCATGTATCTCAGTGGTTTTTTCCAGAAGTGAGATATTTAATACAAAATTGAAAACACCGTGTGGCCTGATACAAGATTATGAAAATTTATTCTCCAGACCATTGTCCAACATGACTGGGTTGCAAGACAAAATACATTTTGTCATTGGCAGTACCATCATAGATACTGGAAGGTTTCTTACAATGTTAATTTCTTCAGATCAAGAACACTGGCAATGTGTTTGCTCTACATATATCCATTAGAACTCACTCCTAGATCTTGTATCAGGAAAGTATGGAAATAGTAGCATAGGGGAAAGTGGGAGGTTACAACCATTGTTAAACCAGGCATACCAGTTTCACACGGATTTCCATCATCACATTTCAGTCACATGGTTGTCTGCCCCAAACCTGCTTTTTTTGACCTGCAAAGCCAGGCAGAGTCTGAGAACAAATGTGTATTCCAACAGACAAAGCTGCTGTTGTTGGCACAACATATTTGAGATAACTGGTTACCTGCATTGAAACCTGCTTCCCTGACCAGGGAGGAAATACTATCAGCAACATCTTCTATGCCTTTAAGAGGTTCCCATGAAGAAGTCCGCTCAATTTCCCACAGGGAAGGATTGGGAATTTAACCTTTACTCTCTGGAGAACCTCTAAACTGGCTCTCATGACTGGATTAGGGATTTTATTAAATTCATAAAGCATTTATGTCATACCCAACTCTGGGTACAGCAAGTGTTTGGTGGCATTTTTACCTGTTTGGTACAAAACATTCAGGTTGCTCGTATGTTGGGGCAACTCTCACATCCACACGCTTTCCCTAACAACAAGCGCCCAGTCTACAAAGACAGCAACAAGAGAAAAGCTGAAATTAGAAAGATCTCCTCACGCCGATGGCCAGCAGAGTTTCTAACACACGTACGGTGACCTGTTACTGTCGAAGCAGGCACCGCGGTCGCTGCGCTCATTTCAGTGCATACACCGACATCGTGCCTCAGTCCCCCAGGCGCCCTTCTGCACCGCACCCCCGGGCACCCCAAATAAACCCGCACAGCAACAAACCCCGAGCACGGCACGGGCCTCCTGCCTTCGGTGTGTCTTTCAGCGAGCCCTTCCCGCAGGCACGGCGCTGTTTCGGTCCGTGCCGGGCTCCCGCCGCTCCGGCGGGGTTTGCGCGGCGCCGTCAGGGCGCGCTCCCGCCGCCGCTCCGTGCCCGCGCTCCCGCCCCGTGCGCGCGCACGCTGCGAGGCCCCGCCGCAGGTGCCGGTTGCATCATCCGGCGTGAGGGCGACCGCGCTGGGGGGGGTCCTTTATAGGGCTGCCCGTTGGCGCGCCTGACTCGTGGCCGCTCCGCCGCGGGGCAGATGGCGGCCCCCCGGCGCTGATCGCGGCTTTTCCTTGAGCTCGGTGTCCGCTCCCGGGCCGGCTGGTGCCGCGCTGTGGGCCGGAGGTTGCGGGCCGGCAGCGGCGGTGCCGAGAGGAGCCGGCGGTCAGGCGGCCGCGTGGGCTCCTCACTTCCTACTCGGGGCAAGATGGCGGGGGACGAGGCGGGAGTGACTCTGGGGCAGCCGCACCTCAGCCGGCAGGATCTCGGCACCTTGGTGAGCGCCGCCCGCGGGGCGCCCAGCAGCGAGATCGGGCTCCCGGAGCTCGGCGGGGGCGCCCCGGGAGCAGAGGGGGCGGGCGTGTGGGCGAGGGGTGCGGCCCGAGGAGCTGTGAGCCTTCTGCCGGGCCCCACCGCTGCCGATGCGTGCCATGGGGGCGCGGGAGGTGGCGGCGCCCGGGGAGCCGAGCTCAGCACGCTGGGCGGCAGGGGCCGAGGGCAGGGGGCCGCGGGCCGAGGGCAGGGAGCCGAGGGCAGGGGGCCGAGGGCAGGGGGCCGCGGACCGAGGGCAGGGGGCCGGGGCCGAGGGCAGAGCGGCGGCGCGCGGAGCAGGTCCCGCCGGTCCTGGCGGGTGTGAGGCGCCCGGGCGAGGCGCTTCTCCTCCCGGTGAGCGTGAGGCTCCGCGGCTCCGTGTTCCGCCGGCGCCGCTGAAGCTTTTATGGCTCACTGGTGGGTGCAGTTTTCCTCGTGTAAGAGTTGCCCTGTTACGTCGTATTAAAGAGTTTTCCCTTTCCGAGATAGAACTATAAATTTGAGCCATTTCTCTACAGCAAGTTCGAGGAGTTCACTATCAGCCCTGTCGTGGTTTGCCAAGACAACTTTCTTGACTATTAAAAACTGCCGAGAAAAACCAGTTCTACCTACCACTGCAGCTACCACTTCAACCAGATGCAGTGGTCTCCTGCTGTGGCAGCCTTGCCTGTTAAATATCTCTCCTGAGCTGCCTCACCTATCACACTTATATGCTAGTCTAAATGTATATGTAATGTATATTTCTAATTCAAGTGTATTGTAATGTACATAGTCAAAAATCCTGTTGCTGTTCTCCTGTGTTTAAACTGGAACAACTTATTTGTCTTAACAGTAATAATATTTGATGTTCTTTGGGCTTGAGCAGAGGAATTCCCTATGGCAGTGTGTTGGTTATATCAGATAGTTTCTTTTCTTCCTGTCATTGTTGACTATGGCATTTCCTAGTTGGGAAAGGCACAGATAGAGACTAGCTGGAAGGTCAGCAGGAATTACCTTTAAGGCCTATTCTGGTGGCCCTTGAGTGCTTACAGCTGAGTGAAGCTTCTTGCTGAGCAATACCCTTATACCAGTCTTGAGGAAAAAACTCCACGCGTGCATGATTTCATGCACCAGGAAGAATTCTCCTGGTGGCAGGAATTGCATCATGCTGAAATTCTGGTCGCCCGACTGCATGGTGCCATCTGCAGGTCACGTTCCCATCGCTGGGAAGTCATTTTAAGTTCCATATATGAGAAATATAAATTTAGTTGTGTGTCTTAGATGTTTAAAATTTGCTTTGTATTGAAGATGAACATTTTATTAATGTCATACTTGAGAGCAGAATGACTGAGCTTACGTTTTTACACAGATGTGTTTGATCATTTTGCACAGAGCTCTCATGTAACAGCGTAAACAATATGTGATTTAATGTTTGTATTATTTGTGTCTTAAATTTTGTCCTGCACTGGGGACTCTTCTGACATCATGACTCTGCTTGAGCTGAGTGGCTCATCCATGTGAATTCAATGCAGGATGGATATTAGCTTTACAGGAGAACATTTCAGTGGATTTCAGCACTTGTGCATTATTTGGACAAACAGCTTTGAAAAAACCTAAATAACTCTTTCAGAGTTGTTTCTTTATCTATACAGAGTGTATTTGTGAGGTTTTTGTTTTGCCGGTGACTGCCAATTAGTTCACACAACAGACTACTTAGGACAGCAGAATTTTTGTCTGGTACCTAAAGCAGCAATAACAGTACCTGAGAGAAAAAATAACCATTAAAAAGAAAAAAAAAAGCCACGGTGCTAATGAAACCTCTGGACCCACTGACTCCTAGTTGTAATTATGGATTGGCTTAATGGAATCTTACACCAATTAAACAACTGTTTATTGACAAAAGCTTTGTTTATAAAATATTAGTGCAGTTCATCATGTAGACTGTTGAAAATGAATTTGCCTGTTATGTGTAATTTAGGTTCAGGGGTATGTAGGGGATTGGGATCTTTTGTTAAAATTTTCTTTTGAGGTTTCTTGTTTTGTTTACTCCCATCTTTACCACTTTGCAAACAAGACTGTTTTACAGTCAGGGTTTTGAATTGTAGCCTGTACTGATTCACAAGCAGGACTTGGATCACTTTTCACACGGATTTCACACTCTTAAAAGACTGGAATGCACATAGTGTAACTGGATTTTGCTGAATAGAACTATCAGTTGACCTTCAAGTTTCTAAATTTTTAACTTGCTAAACGTTTATATACAAGATGAATAAATTTTAAAATCTCCCTTATACAGGATGTTACCAAGTTGACGCCACTTTCACCAGAAGTCATCAGCAGACAAGCAACAATTAATATAGGTAAAAAAAAACCTTATGAAAAAGAGGGGAGCATTAAGGTGACTCTTTTTGATGGTGGTGCAGTAGCAGATGGTGCCTATGTGGTAATACTTTCAAGTAATTTGTACAGAAACGAAACATAGTAGTTTTAGGGACTTGTCAAGCCCTTTTGACTTATAAAGCACCAATTTTACTTCAGGAGCACAGTTGAATGGTGTGAGGAATAGTTGTTAAGCAAAATTTATTTTACCTTGAAATAAAGGATTGAAATGAGTTTCATTAAAATGCAAAGATCTGTCCAGTGGGAGCACAATTTCAGATCTTGTTTGTTTCAATAAATATTATTACAAATTATATATGTATACCATATGAACTTACTGCCTGTGAAGAACTTGGGGTAATTGTGTACTGATTGTAATGGAGCTTTGCACAAAATTAAACTGTGGTTTATTGACAAACATTTCCTTTTAAAACACAGGTACAATTGGTCATGTAGCCCATGGAAAGTCAACAGTAGTCAAAGCTATATCTGGAGTTCATACTGTCAGATTTAAAAATGAACTGGAAAGAAATATCACAATCAAGCTGGGTTATGCTAATGCAAAGGTGAGTCATCACTGTAAATATAGCAGCTATGTTGCTAATATATTTCAGGGGGGGATGAAAGATTACAGGTAACTAACCCTTGAGGAATTAAACCTTTTTTCAACTTTAAAAAAATCACAGATTTACAAGCTGGATGACCCAAGCTGCTCTCGACCAGAGTGCTATCGATCCTGTGGAAGTAGCACCCCAGATGAGTTCCCTACAGATATTCCTGGCACCAAAGGGAACTTTAAACTAGTCAGGTAACTGCTTTAAATTACTGGAATAAATTGTATTTACTTCCCTTTGTATGGAAACAGGATTGAGCTGTGAGCTGAGTGGATTCTGGTAGACTGTCCATTCTTAGATCTGGCACCCCTGGGCTAAGGCATTGTCTAAACTGAATTCATTGGTGATGATGAGCACTTCATGGTAGAGCCCAGCTGTGTCTGCTGGCCTCAGCTACTTGCAGAACATTGAAGTTAAATATTTCTGCTATTAATATAAGTACATTTTAAACCAGCCAGATTGAGAACTAATGTGGAACTCACAAACACATCTTTAAAATCCCTTTTGGAAGGGTGACCTTTGTTAAACTTTTTCTTCTTGAGGGCAGAGTTTCCAAAGTTTTTAAAATTAATATATAAAAGCCTGATGCTTAATGTGAGATCAGGCCTCTCACTGGAGGCCAAGTGTTGTTTACTCAATTTCTGATAAAGTATAGCACGGTCTATATGCAGTGGTTATATGGGTCTGCACAATGATTGTTCAAACGAGAGTAGTCATGAAGACTGTTGTACAAGATTCTTAGTTTGTGTTTATATAAAATACATGTGGGCTGTGACCATGTGCCTTTCCTTTTCTCAGATTCCCAGCAGAGCACTTGTACTAAGGTTAACTTCTTTTGGAGTGTGTCAGGCAGGCAGCCATTGGGAAACAACTGGTTAAAAACTTTGCATTATTTATCCTACCGGTTTTTGCTTGTAGTAGATTTCTAACATCATCAGCAAAGCACGAAATTAGTCCCTTGCTTTTTGGTGGCCTGCCACTAAGAACAAGGATTCTTCTCTAGATAGGTTCAGGAAAGAAAACAGTGAATCAAGTATCTTGGTCTGCACAGTAAAACCCTAAGTTTGGAAATGTAACATCATGCCTGTAGACAAATCTTTGAAGTTCAGTTATAACCATATATTTAAAGATGCATCATTTCCTAAGATTGAAGAATGGGAAGTGCCTTTTAAAAGAGATAAGAGAAATCCCATGTGGTATATTGGAGTTTGGGTCAGTGGTGGTGGGTTGGTTTGATTTTGGGCTTTTGACCTGGTGCATTTAACTCTAATTTAGAGTAAATTCGTGAAATATTAAAGAGGTACTTAATGTGGACATGTGGTATTAAATCTGAAAATTCAGGAAAGGTATTTGGTAGCTGTTCAGTAGTGTTTGTGTTCTTTTAGAACTTTTTTAAAATACTATTTTAAGGATACTTTTAACTTCTGTATCTGGCTAATCACTGACACAAATCAGTCAGAGGAATTGTTGATAATGGGCTTTTGGATTTCTCTTTCACCTTTTCCTGCAACAGGCATGTCTCTTTTGTGGATTGCCCCGGCCACGACATTTTGATGGCTACCATGTTGAACGGTGCAGCAGTAATGGATGCAGCTTTGCTGTTGATAGGTAACAATTGCTACCCAAAAGCAGAACTCTGTTTTGTAGTAGCATGAAGCATTATATGGGCTTTAAAATCTCCTGGGATGTGGTGAGCAGTTGCTTTTGAGATGTGTGAAAGAAAATAAAGTGCTGCTAAAATGGTGATGTACTCTAACAAGCTGGCTTGTTTTAAACACAGCTATCCATACTCACCAGTCTGGTAGCTGGCCCCATTGACAGAAGGTAGGTAATATAAAACTGTAGTAGTATAGCACTGTAAAATTTTTATGACTTTATGGGAAAATATTAGCTGCATTTTGAGTTTCTCTGAAGGTTCAGTTTCCTTTAAATGTGCATGTAGTCTTTGCTATACAGTAGAGTTCACAAACAACAGTACAAACAGTAACCCAGATAAATATAGGCAAAATTTAAGTACAGCAGATTTAATGTAATCCAGACAACTTTTGTTCGGATTTGCAAGCGACAGAAAGTGAGTAAAACTGATTTTTCTATGTCTGTAGAACATTTTAATGTTCTGTAGTGATACATAGCAACTGTCTTACCTTGATAGGATATGTCAACAAAAGGAAAAAACAGCTTCAGATATTGTAATTTAAAGTCTGAGATAGATGATGAGCTATCCTTTCTTCTGCCTCTTTTATCTCTAGAAAGTGTGATAGACCAAACTTCAGGCAAGATTAGCCACCATAATCATACATCAGCCAATGCTGGGTTCTTAGCTGAAATCTAAACCATGCTGATAGCAGCCCTATTCACATACTTGATAGTTTGGGGATCTTGGTATTTTTATGACTTTACTGATAAAAAAATATGAAGATATTTCTTGAAAGGTAATTTGTGTATTGCACTACAGTTAACACTGAGATACCTGACGAGCCAAAGGATGGTGTAAGCCACGTTAGGTGTTGCTATCTTTGGATATTTTAGGTGAGTGTTCCTAGTAGGAGCAGGTGAAATGGGGGAACCTCTCTGGCATCTTCTTATCTGTCCTGCATTGTGTGGAGGCTAGAGCCAGCAGTGCTAGGAGAAGAGGTGCTTATTGACTTGGTTGCTTCACATGTAGATTACTGAAAGACAATTGTCTTTTTTTTCTTTTTTTTTTTTTAATATATATTTTTATTTTTATTTTTAACATAGTCATAGTAGGTGGAAGTAGATATCCTAACTGTAGGAGTTTTGTCGGTCTTTATAGTTTCTATATTGCAGTCACTTATCTTCTTTCAGCTGGTAATGAGTCATGCCCTCAACCTCAGACCTCAGAACATCTAGCTGCTATAGAAATCATGAAACTGAAGCACATTTTGATTCTACAGAATAAGATTGACTTGGTGAAAGAGAGCCAGGCTAAAGAACAGTATGAACAGATTCTTGCATTTGTACAAGGTAAGTTTTCAAGACCAGAAATCTAGTAAGTGGTGGAAATTCAGTGTTGAGACATGGACATAGTAGTTTTCTGTATGTTCATAGAAAAGCTTATCTTGGGCAATGCAGGTGTACATAGTCTGTTAATGTGAAAATTAGACTCTGTGAGTTGTGCTTCTTGCCTGTTTCAGCCTGGCTGCATACAATAGTGTTATGTTTCTGGGTCAGAGCTCTAGATGTAAGACTAACATCAGTTGCTCTTATGTAGTAGCTTTCAGTGGATTTGTGATATCTTCCTGGAGTGCTTCTTTGGTAGAGATTTCACTGTGATTTTACTGCAGTGCAGGAGAGAAGGAAGTTGTACTTGTTAGGGGCACCTTGTAGGTTTAAATATATTATTTTTTTTTTAAAACTAATGACAAAAGATTGCTCTTTCATCTGTCTGTGTAAATTCAGTTTGGGCAGTGTTATCTTACTCTGTAAAGGTCTGCTCACCTGTATAGTGATTTGAGTTTTATCTTTCCCTGGAGTTTCCACTGTTTTCCCTGTTTATCTGCAGTAGGTGGGATATGTGACAAGCTGCAGAACTAGATTGTCAGCACCAGAAGTTACCAATGGGTCTTTCTTTTCCTTTTTTCTTTCTTTTTTTTTCTTTTTTTCTTCTTTTGTAATTCATAATTGTTGCCTTGCAGAAGCTGTTCATAACTGTCAGAGTGGTGGCTTGATGTGTAAATTTGGAGTTTGAAAACTCCAGGTTGTCTCAAGGAACATAGATGTAATTAAAAGTGATGATGTCTGACAAACCTGGATTACTAAATGCATTCTTCTATTAAATAAGGATTTTTCTAAAGGATTTTTCTAAAATATGTATTTGTATTGCAAAATTTGAAAAACATAAATCATTAAATTAACAGGAAATTTCGTTTGTCATCATGAAACCTTACTGTAAAATTAACAGTGCTGTATCCAATACTGAGATATTGACCTCTCTTAGGAAATCTTTAAAATATTTCTGATCACAATATAGGAAGTGAATTCTCCCTTGTGGAAGGTTATCTTGCACACTTTCTAAATGCTTCAAAAAGTGGGTGTGGCTATGTGCGCTAAAATGTTGAAGGGAGGGATAGATGCTCTGATACTGTTTTGGGAAATACACATATAACATGCCACAGAATTCATTAGTATTTTCAACAAGGACAGAACACTTAGTCATAATAAGGCCTAATGTTGAACTTGATTTTGTTTTAGGTACAGTTGCAGAAGGAGCTCCAATAATTCCAATCTCAGCACAGCTGAAGTACAACATAGAGGTGGTTTGTGAATACATAGTGAAGAAAATCCCGGTCCCTTTGCGAGACTTCACATCTGAACCAAGGCTCATTGGTATGTAAATGCTCAGGCCTGGGTTTGTGGCCAAACATTTTCTGAAAGTGTCGGCACTTGGAATAGCACATGCTGAGTGCCCTAAACAGAAGTGAGTTTAAAAGGAGTATTTAGGATGCTCTTATTTTAAAACTTGCATGCCTTCTGAGAGCTGTATTGTTTGTTCACTGCTAATTGCTGTTGGTTTTGTGTATATTCTGTGCATATGACAGCTTAAAATGCAATAAAAGTGAGAAATTTGTCTGTATCTTAGAAACATCCCTTTGGTTGTTATGAATTTAGTTTTGATTTAACAAAATATTGGCAAACTGATGCATTTGATAATTAAATCATTTCCATGGAAGTATTTTGGGAAGCTTGGTTAAGTCTTTTGTATTTGACTCCTGTTTCCTGGTTATAATTGTCAAAGTTTCAGTTCTTTCCCAGCATACTATGAAATGCAGTTCCTATAAGGAATCCATTTGCTTGCCTTTTTTTCCCAATAATCCAAGGGAGGCCTACATTGCATAAATGCATAAAAATTCACCGTGTTACATCAAGGTTACGGTGTTCAGCTATGAGTGCATTAAAACAAAGTTCTGGTATTCACAATTAACGTTTTGAATATTGAAGGGGTTTTGTAAAATGGTTGATCATTGCTTTCTTTTTCAGATCTTTAAGTTACTTTCTAATATGCAGAAAAAGTATTATGAAGCATTTATATATATGAGCAGTTTAAATAGTTTTGTGAATAAAATTAACTGTCTGCCTAAAAATTTGGAATAAAATACTGATTGTTCTGGTTTTGTAACATTTATAAATATGTGTATCCTTTCATAAGAACAGAGAAGCAGTCAAAGTTGCTAAAGAAAGACATTGTTTAAAAACCTGATAGTAAATATAAACCTGGTTTGTGATCTCTTCTTTTCAGTTATTAGATCTTTTGATGTCAACAAGCCTGGCTGTGAAGTTGATGACCTTAAGGGAGGTGTTGCTGGTGGCAGTATTCTAAAGGGTGTTTTGAAGGTAACCCTTTCTCTTTCTTGACTGAAATTTGTAATGCCAATTGAGTCCAGGTTTTCCACATTTGCTGCAAAATATATCTATATAATTGATTTTTTTTTTCATCTTGAGTACAGTCACATGGCACTTATCCTTTCCGTATGTAGTTCATTTTCACTTTACAATTTTAAAATTCCAGAACAAGAAGCACTAGTTTTATTTTTTAAAATATATTATTGTAGTCTTAATAATGATAACAGATTTAATTTTGCTAATAATGATAACAGATTTAATCCTTCACAAAAGTGGAAGGAGCGGGTTTTTTTCCTGTCCTACCACTTCTACTTGCTGAATTATTGTGGGGAAGAGGAGAGCAAAAGAACTTTAAAAGCACCTTGGAAGTGTGTGTGGGTTCTCACAGGTCCCACTTTCCCATTTAAGTGTTCTATATATTTTGATTTTTTTTATTTTGCTTGCTTGCTGGCAGTAGACAGAAACTTTAAAAGGATTGCTTTGTTAGGCTGGAGAGCAAAGTCTGTCTTTGAACATTTATACAGCTTGTACTTTCTCTGGTTTGCAGTGTATTGATGTCAGTCAGTTACACTGATTGAATTAACTGAATTTTTCTTAAAGCTGAAATATTTCTAAATTAAATACAGTGTTTTAAAATTAAATTTAATTGTTGGAATTATTGCTGATAAAGGTCCTTTGCTAAAGCAGTTTTACAAATTGTATTGAAAAGAAAATCAGATGTTACATTTACTGTAAATATTGTTCAATTTGCATCAAACATTGCAACAGAAATCCTACGAGTTCTACACTAGCCCAGAACCAAGGACTCATAAAAAGTAGATCTTGGGATACATAAGTCGTCCTTGTGCCTAGTCAGCTTTGTGTTCCTGTGAAATAACCAGTTAAACGCTTTCTCACTTCTGTCATTAGGTGGGCCAGGAAATTGAGGTGAGGCCTGGTATTGTCTCCAAGGACAGTGAAGGCAAGCTCATGTGCAAGCCAATCTTTTCCAAAATTGTGTCACTCTTTGCTGAACATAATGATCTACAATATGCTGCTCCAGGAGGCCTTATAGGTAAGAATATTCTCTTATGAAAAGCTTCATTTCTTCATGCTTATTGAAAACACTTGGTTTAATTCAACAGTGAATTTCAGTGTAATTAACAAAAACACCGTGAGGATTTTTAGGTAATTCATATATGTAGAGAGAGACAGGGTTGGTGTGAAAAATGGATATTTAAGAATTAAATCATTTTCCTGAATATCATTGGCCAATACAGGTCAGCTTGCACTGTAAATTTTACCAGCTTTAACAGCAGAATATTTCTTCATCTGTTTAGATAGAGCTCACAGTCTTGCTGATATTCTGAAAGTGCTGCCCAGGTAGTAAGAAGTTCCCAGTACATTCTCTGTTTTTTTAGATCATCTTCAAATATTTTAGCTCATAAAAATGACAACAACCTTTCAGTTACTCTTTCTGACTTCCCTTGTTGTGTTGTAGGTGTTGGCACTAAGATTGATCCCACTTTGTGCCGGGCTGACCGCATGGTGGGCCAAGTTCTTGGGGCAGTTGGGGCACTGCCAGAAATATTTACAGAGCTAGAAATTTCCTACTTCTTGCTGAGACGACTCTTAGGTGTGCGCACTGAAGGAGACAAGAAAGCTGCAAAGGTCTGTGCCCCTTCTTTTGTTTGTCCTGGTTTTGCTTCCTGTGCTAATTTTCATTAATGAATATATTTATTTGATCATATGTAGACATTTTGTCTCAATGTTGATACAAGCTTGTCACAAATCCGCTTGTTTAATACTGTCAAAGAATGGTTTTCAGAGGAGTAGAAATTCATATCAGTAGTTTAAAGCAGCATAAAGTATTTATGTGTCATGTAATGTATTTTTCTAAACATGCTGGTAGTTGTTTGCTTTTGCTATCATTCTATTCATTTGTGCAATAATTGGTTTTACAGTGCTACTGATCTACTCCTGCTGGCATGCTTTTTGGGGTTTTTTTCACTGAATAAATTTTAAGTTTAAATATTTTTGAAATACTCTGGTTGAAAAAAAAAAACTGAACTTGAGGCACAGCACCAACTTGTGTAACACAATCTGGTTTACACAAATGAACTAAAAGATCATAATTTCCCCTGTAAGAATTTAAATTTATAAACTGCTTCATGCAACAGTGAGCAAAGTGCTTCAGCACTCTCTTATCCTGTGAAATTGATTATTTGAATTTTTTTTTATGTAGGCAGAAGGGAAATGAGAATACACCATCCTAGTAAATAATCTGTAGAACATCACAGTTCATAACAAAATCTGACTATGTTTTTAATGTTATATGAAATCATCAGTATATAGAAAAAGTAGATCAATCTCAAGAAAGTACATCATACCAAGAACCTCAGAACTATATGTACAACATCTTTATGTATTTGTCCTTTTGCGTATAAAACTTCCATCTACTGACACTGCTGCCCATAATTTGTGTGTGTATGTTTATAGTATTTCTTAGCTGTATCTTTTTTTGTGGCAAGAAGATAACAGAAGATAACTTGGTACTGTCTGTGCTATTTTGTTTTTTAGTACTAAAGCTTATGTTTCAGAGTTTTGTATGTCTGTCTTCAGGTGCAAAAATTATCGAAGAATGAAGTTCTGATGGTAAACATAGGATCCTTATCTACTGGAGGGAGAGTCAGTGCTGTAAAGGCTGATTTGGGGAAGATTGTGCTAACTAACCCTGTATGCACAGAAGTGGGAGAAAAAATTGCTCTGAGTCGAAGAGTTGAGAAACATTGGCGGTAAGTTGGTGCAAAGTTGGTTGGGTATGTGGTGGGTACATTGTTAAGAAAAAAGCATGGATCTGATTTTGTACTAGAATAGGTAAGTGTATGTCTGTTTTAAAAATTATTCTGGATTCTCCTAAGATATTGTCACCATAGTTGTAGAATGCTTCATTTCATTGCTATCCCTTTTTTAAACAAACACCATGATTGGGAGGGTACCTGTTAGTTAACAGACAAGGAAACACATGAGGTTCATGTTTGTTGCCCAAACTGCCAGGCTGTAAATTGAGCTAAGTAGGGAATCTTGGGAGAGGGGTTGGGAAATTCTCACAATGTTAAGCCGAACAGCCATCTTTATGCACATCTCAGTGGTTTTCTACCTGTGGAGCTGCATGTGATTTCTAGTGCAACTTGGAAGTAACAGCAGGGGAACAGAGGAGGGATGTTTGAATGTTCTACGTACTACAAGCACAGAGGAAAGAATAAAGTATCAACTGGATTGACCCATTCAAATTACAAATATAAAATGTCTGACTGCAGAAGCATCTGGAGGCTGAAAATGATGAACAGAATTGGTTGGTGATTCATTTTATCGCAGTACCAGACTCTTTAGGTGATTACACATCCTGTACCTGTCACAGGTTTCCTAAGTCTGGATTGATAAGAACATAAGATATTTAGATTTGTCAGCTCTGCACAGCTCTTGTAGTATGAGAGAGCACAGCCATTTTTACAAGAAGTCTGTACTGTATGGAAAGGAACCAAGCTTTAAATATCCATGGACGCATGTTTCTTTTTCAGATGACAAGAAAATGTAGACAGGAATTTAGTGCTTGCTGGTGCTTGCTGTCTCAGAGCAAGATGACAAATTAGGGAAGAGATTATTTTCTGAAAAAAAAAACAAACCCCAAGGCAAAAGACAACATGTCTTAAACAGGAGGAAAAAAAAGGCAGGACCCAAATTAAGTCAGGTAAAGCAGAAGGAAGAGGAGAAACTGTATTAGAAATTATGCTTGCTCTTTTTTTTAAGCTGTAGACTGATAGCCTGTGCAAATAATAATGTGTCTTTTGTTGCTTCTGGAGATTCCTTCCCAGTTAAAAAACTTGACCAAATTTTGCCCAAAAGCCCACCTGTCTCTTGATTATGAGGTGGGCAAATAGTGGCAGCCTGCTGTAAATATAGTTATTGAAAAGTTGATTCCTATGCTGTATTAAAAAGATAAAGACAATATAAGGAAACTAAAAGTTGGGAAAAGGGAAAGAAGGATAACTGGGAAAACCAGCATAATAAAATCTAATTGTAGGAAAGATAATATACAGTTGGTACTGTGAAAAGGAACTTGCAGCCTGAGACAATGGAGTACTAAAAATAGAGAAGAAAGTTCTTAAAGCAAGACTAAAAAGAGGTATAAAATAAAAAGGAAATATAAAGAGGCATAGGGAGAGGTTCAACAGCAAATGGGATACTCGAGTGATTCCAAGGATCAGTGAATTCAAAGATGGTCAAGTTATGACCCAAGGGTATGGTACTAAAAAGTGGGAAATGCTGCTCTGATAAACTTCAGTTTCTTTTCTGGTGTCCCAAGACAGGCTCTACTGCTTAGCAAGGTAAATTGAGACGCATGTGGGGTTTCTCACCAGAAATTGGAAAGGTTTTGAACAGAGTTTTACTAATAATATGAGATACCTGCTGACTGTGGAAATGGATGTATTCTGAATTTCTTTTTACAAGTATATTTTTCTGAGGCAATAGTGGCCTATAAAAAAGGCCTTCATTTTCCTGAATATAAATAGCAGCACACACCTGAGAGCTGAGTGACTGCCACAGGCTACCATTGAGAGTTACAGCTGTTTGTAATCTTAGTGTATTTTCATTTCTCCTTCAAAGAAATGCAACACTTCAGACACAGGTGAAAGAGATCAAGCTGTGAATAGACTTACCATCCAACAGTACAACAGAAGTTACAATATTTTCAGATTTTCAGCTTCTCTTCAGGAGTACACACTTAGCTGGTCACAAATGTCCTCTGTCCTTCACCGTTTTCTATTCTGTGTTCCCACTAAGCAGGTTTAGTTCTTGTAGAATGTTTTGGGTGGGAGACAAGTGTAGAAAATCCAAAATGTAAGAACTGAAGGCATAAGAAGGACAGAAGGATGTTGACTTATTTAGGATATTTCTGACTACTAGTAAAAGTAATATAAACCTTTTATTTTTTTTTTTTTTTGCAGTTTAATTGGTTGGGGTCAGATCAGAAGAGGAGTGACAATCAAGCCAACTGTTGATGATGACTGAAGAACAAAAGAGTGCTTCATTTTTAAAGATGAAGTGCCTATTTCTGTTTTGGAGGGGGTGTATTTTCACAGTGGAATTGGAAGCTGTGCAAACAGGATCTTTGAGTTGTATGGCTGTCCTCATAGCTTTTATTGAATTTTACCCTCTTACTAAAATACTAGTCACTATCACCATTAAAAGTGTAAAAGAATTGGCATAGGGTGGGTTTCATTATCCACGTTTTAGTAGAAATTAATTGTACATGTCTCACGGCATGTCTAATTTATGTTACTTTGTGTTTCAGACATATCTGTTTAATATCAGTCAAACCAGCCCCAGTGTAACACACAAACCATAAATCTGGTATTGAAATAAAATATTGCTTATTTTCATTAATTCATACAGTTTTTCTAAGTAACAAAAGACTGCAGTGATTGTTCAAGTTCAAGAATTAAAAGCAAGCAAACTCTTCTTGGAAGACTAGTACCTTTTCTGCACAATTTATGTTTAGACAACTGTTACCAACAAAAAACTTCATTTCTTTGTTTCTATGGTTCTGATTTTAGGATTCTAAAGTATTACACTTTGTAATTAGGATGGCAATATTGACTGACTTGAATTTGTCGTTTCTGATATTACTACATGTTTTCTTAAATCCCCAAAGGAAAACCACAAGTAAACTGGATCTGAACTGGCAGTACTGGTTTTGACCTATTTTAGTATGGATTTATGAAAATAATGTGATTGATTGGGACCTAACTTTGTCATCATGGAACTCTGTGGGAGTGACCTGGGAGTTCTTTATACAGTAGGAGTAAACAACTTTAAAATTTTGTTGAACAAATATAAAATACTGGGAAGAGGCTGTAGAAAGGAATGATTTGGGATGAGGGCAGAGTTGTGGTGGTGGAATTGTGAATAAGATGAGGAAAAAAGGTATAAAACCACTTTTGTTTAGCTACTCTGAACCACAAGCCTCAGGATAAAACATAATGTAATAAACTTACTGTAGGGTGCTAATACTTTAATCCATTTAGATTTCACTTCTTCATTTGTACTAATATACATAGTTCTTGCAAGTAGCAAGTTGTGCTACTTAACATATTTTGGTACAAAGTACTGCATGTTTTCAAAGTTTGGTTTTGGTTTTATTCAATATCTTTAAGGGCTTTCTAAAGCCCTTTCACTCATCAAACTGGAATTTGATGAAACAGCTTGCATTTTTTCCCTGATTTTGCACTATATTGTGTTCCCTTACTCTGTCTACATTCCTGTACTCAGTTTTTCCATTTGTAAAGTACTACCTCACATGGTGTTGAGAGTAAATACATTAATTTTTGAATAGTGCTTTTTCATTTTAAAAGCAGGAGTCAGCTGTAGTTCTCTCTGACTCTCCAGGTACTTAACCAATCTACAATCTTAAATGTCTCTGTTTCAAGGATTGCATCTTCCATGCTTTGGTAACTCCTTTCTGTAACTGTGAATTCTAGGAACTTGTATAAACCTAAGCCCTACCTAGTCTGATGGCAGGAGGGTGAGCATAAAAGAGATGTAAGCTGCAGCAGAGTGCTTGGATGGCTCTGCAGGGTGAAATTAGTGCAGAGTCCTTTCTCAGTGCACTGCACTTGTGGGTCTAATGAAACACATGGGGAAAGCTTCTGAGAAACTGGTTAAGCACCCACAGACATTTTTAGACATTCAGATATTTTGGAGATTGTGTCTCTCTTAATCTGCAATTTAAAGAACACTAGTGCCATAATCTTGCTGAAGTTGTGCATAGACCTGCTTTCCCAATGGCTTTTCCAGGCAGGGTGAGGCTCTCACAAGGATCACCTCTTTCTGCACTGTGCTGTATATCCTGTCACACCAGGATGAGGGCCTGGGGCGGATCACATACTGAGTTCTTTTTTGGCCACCAAAATGTTAGATTTCTTCCAATGGGAAGCTTTGACTGCTGACATGAGTGATAAGTAATGGGCTTTTGAGACTGCTGAATACATGGAACATGTCTCTGCAGCATTGGGGAGACAAGTGTGAACAGTGTAAGTACAAATACATTGTGTGCTGTACCACCCCGTCCTCAGTCACTGAACTGTGATGCTGAGATGTTGAATGACAAGAGAAAGCAGTATCATGTACAGCTAAGGAAGTTGAAAATTATTTTGATTTTCTTGGCCAGGATGAAAATAGTGACAGATACCTTGTAAGCTTTCTCATTTTACCAAGGATTTTCTTCAAGGATTTTATTTTTTAGGTCATATTTAGCTACCTGAACGGAGGTGTGAATTTGCGTTTCTAATGGGTTGAGTACACAAATGTAGATACCTTGTGCAGTGGTACAAAGTTGAAGTGTGTCAGTAGTTATTTCTAAGACTTCACTTTGGCTGGAAATGGCATCTCCCAAATACAAATATCAGATTCTGTTCTGAAGGGATGAAGAAAAAACTTTCAATTAACACCTTTGCTGATTTGGTCCTAGTATACACGAAATACAGAAAAAAAATTAAATTTTATTTTTATTGCATTCGTTTTGCAGCACTTTGAAAAGTGCTACCTTCTAGCTCGCTGCTGCAGAAAGGTTTCCTGCTGGTTTTTCCATGCCGAGTCATGTGGATGAGCGTCCTGACCGCCCGCAGGAAAGGTTTAAACTTCTGTCCCGCCCCTTCCCCATCAGCGCTTCTGCCAGGGTAAAGCCCCCGCTCCGCCGGCCCTGCCGTTCTGGGTCACTTCTCGCTGCCAGGCTGGGGCTAAACATTTATAAAGTTTCAAAGGCCTGCCCTCCCTTAACCACCACCCCAAAGCACCAAAAGCACCGACTGCCGCTCCCAGCTCCCGCCCCGTCCTGGCCGTGGCAGGGCCCAGGGACATCCACAACGTCCTGTTACATTTTACTGACATCACCAGCCCCTGTGGGCACCGCTCCTTATTCATCGGTTCTTCCACTGCCACAGTTCTGGCACCGTTGGCTTCATGGCTGATGTTCACTTACCACAGTGCTAAAATTACTAATCTGCTCTGGCTTTGTGTTGCTGCGTTTGTTTCTGTACAGCTCCGTCTGTACGTGCTCACTGAATGTTCCAGTCATCTCCAGTCCATCCCAGTGGGTAGTAAAAGTGCACGTTTCATACTTTTCCAGACTAAAAACCCAGCTAGAATAACCAATTTTACAGAAATTTTGGTTTATGGTGAAAACCATAGAAGTTGTAAACAGTGAAAAACTGTGTAAGTGATACAAGTACGTAAATAAATTCTCCTTTCTTACCCTGAAAGGATTAAAAACCAAACAAGTCTCCTAACATGGGCACTATATGTGCAATGAAGAAAGAACAAAATAGCAAGAGAATTTTGTTACCAAGGAACAGGTATCTTGTTCAACAGATATCTTGTATCAATATCTTACCTCAAATATTTAAATAAATACATATTCTTCAATGTCTTCGATAAAACAAGGCACTAGAATGCCGTGCCCAAACACAGATGAAAACTGTTGAAATATTTTAGTTGAAGTAATGTTAATATACCTGATATTTACTTGTGTTGAGCAATGCTTCATTAAGAAATTGCACGCTATACATTTATAAAACACAAACTTTTCTGTTCAAACAGTTTCTTTCTAAAGCCTAGCATCATTTTTTGAATATTTCAGTAGAGTTGGGTGGAAAAAAAATCAAGGTTCACTTAATTAAATGTCATGTTACACAATCCTTAGGATTCAAATTAATCAGGGCAGCAGCTCTCCCTTTTTGCCTCCTTGTGGGCATTTGTAAAGAAATCCAACATACTAGACTGGAATAATGATGTTACTTAGAAAACCCCTTCCCCTACCAAACACTACACTTTTCTATATTTAGATATTTTTGTTTATTAGGTGTTCAATAAAGACCTGAAAAGTGTTTTCTCCTGCAAATGCACCTTAAGATTCTCTGAACTCATTTCTTTTCCCGGCTTTGCTTAATCATCTATTTGATTAGGTAATCTATTACGTATCTCAAAATACTTCACTTGCAACATCATCCTAACTAGTACACAACAGAGTTAAGTCTCAGCTTTTGCAAGTTTTCATTAAAGCAGCTTTTTTTAACCTTGGTGACTAGCACTGGGCATACAGAAATAGAATAATTTTGTACTTTTTCTTGGCTACAGCCAAAATACTGTTGATAACAAAGTTTAGTAACAATTATTTTTATTTCTTTAAATTGTCTCCCATTTATTGCATTGGCAGTAATTGTATACAACTAAATCCTTTAAAATTTAACATGGAGTCGTACTTCACACCAGAAAGAGGTATGGGGGTATAATTAGTCCTTCCACAGCAATCACAAGCATTCACATATCCTCCAGATGGTTTTGGCTCCTTGCCTCCTGCCTCGTTGTCTGTTAGCACACGTTAAACACGCCAAGCCAGCAAACACTGGTACAGCCCTGTGAACCACACAGTGCTTGTGTGCTTCAGGCACACAAATTGTCCTGTTAACACTGCTGGGACCCTTGTGCACTTGAAGGTGAGCTTGTGCTGTTTTGGAAACTGGGATCTTAAATTACCTCAATTTTTCTGAAAGCTTAATTCCTCCTTTAAATTCATTGCTACTTCACACTGTTGCTCTTCTACCGACATGTGTGTTCATGCTGGGAATTTATTTTTGCAGTTAAAACCTGACATTTTGTCTTTGAAAGCATTTTGAGCTTTATGGGAAGGTGTCTGTTTTGACACATAACATCACAGGAAAGTGGACTCTTGGTATGTTCCAGAGCAACCTGGTTGCTTTATGGACTGGTGAAAGCTCTCCAGGTGGAAGCTGATCACCAGCTCCCATCCATTCAAGGGAAGTGCAGTTAATATAGCTACAGAAGAGCTTTGCTGGAAAGAGACCAAATAACACAGGTTTGAACTGACAAACACTAAAAATCAGTGTTGTCCTAATAAAGTCTCCCCAAAAAGAAGGTTGGTCCCTCAGTGTAATGGTTTGGTTTGTAATGTCCTGCTTTCTTGTTAAACGATTTACTAGAGAAACAGGGAGGGGCTGTTTCCATTTCAAAACACAATGCTTATATAGTCACCGAAGCAGATAATCCTCAGGACCATCTACAACTCCATCAGCTGAGGAAAAGAACTCTTTAACACTTCGAAATCTTCTCTACCCTTTCTTTTTCAAGATCCATCAGTGTTGACTTCTAACACTGTATCAGGTCGAACATTTACCAGTCTTTTTACCTTTGTTACATGTACTCACCAACAACTCTAGGCCTCTTTGATTCATGGGCAAATAAGGTAAATGCAATGAGAGCTTACAGAATTATGGAGGAAATAATGGATTTTTTATGTCTGCCCCCTCCCTATCCCCGCAACCAATGAGAGTTCAAACTAAGAGCTGTTATTTGAAATTGTAGAATAAATAATTAACCGTCCTACCTAATTAAAAATACCTTTAAGCTTGCACAGCACATAATCAGGAAGCACTAGAAATAAAATTGCCTGTGAAAGCCTTCCTTTAACAACTAAGTACAACTAAGGATTAAGAAGCTACCGAGTATTTGTAAACCAAGACATGTCAGAGATTTTAATGCAGACAAATGACTTACCAATTCTCCACAGGATGCAAGGGACTCCTGCTCAACACAAGGACCACCCTGCTGTTTAAATGTATGATCTGTTTTCAAGATTTTTTTGTATAGCTTTTCAATTTAAAAAACAAAAAA